ATAAGTTTCTTTGATTCATTGATTTGTTTCATATGGCTTAATAGTTCTCTGATGCTTATTTGAAGGCAGGAAATATTTTTTGATTGTAAGAATTTTCTTTTTTTTGTGGGTAGTAATTGCTTAGTGATACAAGTTAATTAACCTATAGCTTGGGAGAGAAGAGGTGGATTCATACCTTTCGCAAGTGAATATAACAAACCCCACTGGAATTGAAACTTGGCTCTCCAATTAACAATTCTGAGTCATTATACATTACACCACCCACCTACCCATCTTGGTATTCCCAAGTGGTCATCCATCTCAATACTGCGCAGGCTGGGTGATCATACAGGAACCATATCAACATAATGTGGCTATAAGCCTCTGATCTTCTTTTTAACACTCATAGGCTACATAACTTTAGGGTTAGAGATTGAAGGGCACTACACCTGTAGATAGATTGACTTGTTTGGTTTTTTGTAGGTTTTATAAAGCCAGAAAAAAATACTTTTATAGTAAGAATTATTTTAGATATAATAAAGATTTTTAATGACAAGTTCTACTAATTAACCCATATCTGGGGGGGGGGGGAGAAGAGTTATTTGTAAGTGAATATAACAAACATAACTGGAAGTGGGACTCAGCTCTCAATTTTTTATGCCAAGCTGTCATCCATTACACTACCCACAGCACCTGGTTTTTCCAAGTGGTCATCCCTCTAGGTACTGACCAGGTTTGACATTGCTTAACTTTGGTGAAAACTGATGTTTCAACATATGACCTTAAGCCTGCAATAGCAGTTGTGTGTAGACAAGATAGCTTGTTAGAGCCCAACCCCCTTGAGGATAGTTCTGAACAGTTTTCCTTCTAGTTGCCAATCAAGGTTAAAGAGACACTCAACCCTGCTATTTAATCTATAGCTGGGGACAGAAAATATGTGCGTAAATGTAACAAACTAAGTTGGAATTCAAACGCAAATCATTTTATTGGAAATAAAAAAAACTTTGCATCTTTTCATTATTTTTGGCCTGATTAGTAAACATAAAAATACAAAAAGACATTAAACTTTTCTTAAAATTTTTCGATTGTTTTCTAAATCTTACCAAACATTTTCAGATTATTTAAAGCCAAAAAATATTTTTAGATTCTAATTTTTTTACAGGTAATAATGATTTAGTGATACAAGTGTTACTTAACCCATAGCTGGGAGAAGTGGTGAATTTCTACCTATCCCAAGGGTATTTGTGGTAAAGTGAAGGAACCTAACTGGAATTGGAACTCTGCTTTCTGATTGACAATTCCAAGTTGTTATCCATTGCATCACCTGCACATCCAAACTGTGGTATTCCCAAGTGGTCACCCATCTAGGTATTGATCAGGCTCGGACATTTAACTTCAGAGATCGAATTGCAACCAGTGTTTCAACATGATATGGCTTGCTTTATATCTAACTGTATTACTAGCTTGCTTTTTACATACAGTGGGATTTTCTGCTACAGCTAAATTGCTTCTAATATTCTGATAACTTATTTTAATTAAACATTACATGCTTAAATACACTAAAGGCAAGAGGAGAAAAAAAAAAAAAGAACTGCTTCAGAAGCATTAAAGAAATTGAGCATGACATCAGCAAACAGACAATCAAGACAAAGTTTAAGCCTCCAAGGTTTAGATTATTCCATGGAACAATAGCCTACTGGATTAAAGCATTGGTTAGTGATTTTGAGTTCAATCCCTGGAGCTGATAGTACAGACTTAAATTCAGTGGAAACAAAGTGCACAATAACTGAGTAGTTACTAAAACAAAGATATCCCTAAACAGGAATAACAGAATGAGAGCAATCTATTGCTGTACAGAAAAGAAAGGGTTTAGTTTGAAATTCTCTCAAAGTGTAGAATTGTAAAAAAAATAGTATAACTAAGATTTCAATTCAGTGCAAAAGTAGGATTACAAAGGCATCACCTCAATTCTGCACAAAAAATTGGATCATATGAATGTCAAATTCAAATTTCCACATTAGCATTTTGACATGCACAGGTGGTTGTGGTCACAGTCCAGCACTAATATGTGACGTCCACTGGTCACGACGTCAATATCTGACGCTGCGCTGTCGGCACGTGGTCAAGTCCCAGTTGTGGCGCGAAGCTGTAAGGTTTCTTCAACCCGCGTTTGGGGTTGACTCATTGTCGTCGCCGCCACCACCCTGTGTCTCGGTCGATCTGGTCGTTTCCGGTTGACACCAACTTTGTCATTCTCAGCTTGCCTCCAACACCTGGTCACCAAAGTAACTGCTTTGATCTCAAGTCTAACCTACCCACGTTGTGACTTTGATCTTAGGTAGATGAAATCAATCAGGCGTCGAGCCGTAGTGCAACCCGAATCCGTGGTAAAGGTGATACCGCACAAGTGTAAGTAAAAGAAAAATAATAAAACAAACAAACAAGGTTCAAATATGTTGAGAAATAATAATTAACTTTATCTATCTGTTAAATACAGGAGTGTGTTTTCTTTCTGGTCCGTTCTATGGATTCATGACACTTTTTGCGTTTCTTAAGTGAGTTATCATATCTTAAGTCATTCAGCAATAAAAACTTGCTTTTGGTAGGAAGACTAAGTCGAAAAAGGACATGGAAATCTTGGTCAGCTCCTGCGAGGCGCTATTCTCCAAGCTCAACAGTTCTCTGTCGGAAAAAACAGTGTCTCCGATCCCCAACCCAACTCCGAACGCCTGGGGACGTTTGTTTATACGGACACCTACCAAAACCGGGTTGGAGCCTGTCATGGTTTGGGTTCTTTGACAATTCTTAATTCCCAACGAAAAATTTTCTTTGTCCCCAGAACAGAAAAATTTATTACTTCCCATTTTTGGAAGCTAATCACTTTCCCTTTTGGGGTTTTTCTCCCTTGTCCGTGAGGAAAGGTCGGAGAAGAATTATCCTCCTAGACTCTTCATTTCTCATATTGGTATCTCATACCAATCCTCTTAGTGGGTGTCAACAACTTCCCTGCCTTTCTCATACGTTCACCTTCGCCCATCACTCACGCCACCACTCAGCCAATGATCGCTCGTCAGTGTGGGTGTGGCTAGACTTGGCATTCTTAAAATTATCGTCCAGAAAAAAAAAAAAAAAAAAAAATTCTCTTTTCCTTTCTTTCCTTCTTTTCTATCAGCCACGTGGCCCTAATTCTTATCTTATCCTGAGCCACCCAAAATCCACTTAGCAGAATTTTCACCGACTCATTGATCACTGCTAGTCAACCTTCAAATTGGGTGGTAGTTTTCACTTGATAAACAAATTCTTTATTTTTCTTGTGTATTAAAATTTTCGTGCCACCAGATGCTCACCTTCTAGTAACCATGTCTGACAACGATAATGATCTCCTTCTCAACCTTCTCTTCTCATGTCAATTTGTTGAATTTGTAGAGCTGTATTTGAAGATTATTTCTTTTCTATGCTTCTTTTTTTGCACACTTACCCCCATCTACACATGCACCAATAGAAAACTGAATAAGACCAGATGACAAAAGGGGGTGGGAGTGATAACAGCAACATAAATTAGGACAATAGTAAGATTGTAAATAACACAAAAAAAATTATTTTCTTGAACATGCTCCGTTCAAATGGGGATGCATCTTTTATGCTATCAGATAGAGTGTGTGTGTGTATATATATATATATATATATATATATTCTAAATTATTTTTTTTTTTTTAATCAGACATTATTTCTTATTGCTATAAAAGTTTTAGTGGGTACAGTCACAACTGAAAGACATTAATGTTTACAGTAATACACACACAAAATATAATTTTAAAGGTATGCCATATTTATGGATAAAAGTACTCAATATCAGAGACAATATGTAAACAGGAAAGTGGACATGAAGGACAACACCAAGCATCAACAATCAGTTTCATGCCTGTTTCAGACTGCTTGGTGTTGATCGAATTGTACACTTTTATAGATACATACGCTCTCCAATAGTGACAACTTTTAACCATGAATATACCTTAAAACTATCTATATATTATATATATATATATATACACACACACTACAGTGGGTAATAAATCAGTTGGTATATAATCCAAGTAGATCCTAATAATACAAAATATTAAAACTGATCCACAAAAAGAGCTCAATGTATTTATTATAACAGAGCATATAAATTACATAGCAGGCTAACGCATTGACGTTAGTTGAAAGTCTATACTCATGGAGGTAGTTTTGGATTCCTCTTATGTAATTTTATATATATATATATATATATATATATATTCATACATACATATTCATACATACATACATACACATTATTTGGACTCTTATCCTCATCTTCATTGCCATATTCACAACGTTTTAGCTGTTGTACACTTCCATCCAATCCAGCCAGATGGTGACCCTGGACATGATGAGTTTGTTCACCAAGGTACCCATGGAGAAGATATTCTCAGTAGTCAGGAACAGACTGGCCTTGGACACATCCCTAGGAGAATGGACCAGAATACCAATAAATAACCTGATGGAGATGCTGACTATGTATACAAACAATACACTTTGGATATATTGACAGGACAAGGGCTTAGCAACAGGCTCACCATTATCACAAGCAATGACAAACCTATATATGGAATACTTTGAGATATGTGGTCCATATAATATCAGGACAACCTTCAAAAGTGGTTCAACACTTCACAGCCGCTTCTTCCAAGTGAAACTACCTACCCCATGAAAAATGATTTTTCATTTGTGATTTGTTTGTAGGTCTTGAAGATTGAGAGTTGCTTTTTTAGAATTCTCATGAAAGAAAAATTATTACCTATGGGATTTTATTTGTTTGATATTCTTTAATTAATAATAAATTTTGCTGTCTTTTGATATAGAGCTCTCTCTGGATCTATATCCTCCTGGAAATTGCATACGGATTACCATATTGTATCATTTATTTATATATATATATATATTTCCAGTTGTAGGGATATGAGTTTGTGACTCTGGGTTCCACACTTTTGTGATCATCAGACAAACTAGTTTATTTTTTAAAAATTGAATCTATGCTTGTTTGTGTTTGATTATGTTTGGTGGTGGGAGGGGGAAATCCTCCTCTGTGAGCATTTTGGGATGACACACACATACATAAAGATGTATGCATTATAGTTCACACAAACACACCCATATAAACAATCCAAGATTAGGCACAGAAACATATCCATGTGTTCAACCATACATACATACACATTTCTAATCCTATTTCGGTGTTGAGACTGTATGTAGTGAAGTTCTTTCAACAAGAGGCAGTTCTTGGCTCTTTTCAGATCAGCCATCTGCATCGTCAAACAAATTATTTATTTCATTAGGGTTGTAAAAACAGCCCCAATGCATCAGATCTTTTGGATTTGAAGGTCTGATGAATTGGGGCTGTGTTTATGACCCTAATGAAATAAACTATTACCTCATGAAGTTTTAGTGTTTGTGCCTTTTATAACAAATATATATATATATATATATATATATATATATATGTGTATGTGTGTGTGTGTGTGTGTTACATGCATGTGTTCACTTACCTTTCTTTGGTTCTAATACCAATCCTCCTGCATAGGCTGGCTTTTTGCGACCTGATGATTTTTTGTCTGATATAGGATCTCCATCTTCATCAAATTCAGTCTGACAAAAATACAAAGAAATAGTAGCAAGAGATCAGGCACCTCAGCACAAAGTAAGGGTAAGGAAGTTTTTTTTTTTTTTTTTGGTTATTAATAACAAGTTGTGAGTTTGATTTTCTGGGGTTACTCCATAATTGTGGCCTTGTACCAAACCTCAATTATCCTTCAAAGTAAATAATAATATTGAGATATAAAATATAAACTTCAATAGAAAGTGAAAATTTGTTAAGAAAAGTTGATATAATCAAACAGTTTATGAAATATCCTAACAACTGGCTTAAAAAAAAAAAAAAAAAGCTCCATATTCATGAGAAGAAATTGTAGCCATCCAGATAAAATACTGGATGCATGTCAAATGCTTCAAATTCAACTTAAAATATGCAAATAGATCAATGCAAATGTTGTGAGAAAAAACATGCAAAATTACTAATTGTAGGCAATGGAAAGGCTAATTCATTTTTGTAAGCAGAACCAATGTTTGAAAGCATTATCACTGGAGCAAAGTTCATGGTGATAAAATGCTCAACTCATTCTTGTAAACAGAACCAAAAATGAAAATGAGTATTATTGTTATTTTTAAAAAACAGCTTTCTAATTTTTTAAGTTTTTAAGGTCATACATAAATATATTGGCCTGAGAAACAACAAAATCAATTTCATTTCAGCAACACATCAAAATTTCCATCATTTAGTTCCTCCATAGCTTACTTTCATTTCCTTAACATTGACATTTTCAAATATATTACAATTTTTTTATCTTTATACTGTTAGCTCACCCAATACAAGGCCCAAGAGCCACTTACTGTAGAGGCTATCAATGTTTCTTCCATGTGACAAGAGTTGCAAGGTGGAGAATAATTCATCACCTATAAGGCAGTTTAATTACTTTTGAACTCTGTATAATGAGGACTGGGCAGCATCAGCAATATTCCATTCTTGATCTGATCAGACTCTTGTAAAAATACAGGAGCAGGAGGCAATTATTTCCTGGAGCAATGCAAAGAATTGACCATTATTCCAGCATCTTTGGGATGGTAACATAATACATGTTCCATGTTCAATTTGTATGTCTAACATTTTTTTTTGTTGATTCTTTTCCTGTGTATATAAATACAAAGATTTTTCTAAATAAATTTCTAAATTTGCCTTTGACAAAGTTCTTTAAGGAATGAAACATCAGCGTAAAAGATTTTCCTTGCCACTTTTACTAATTCATCAAATTTTACTAGTCTTAAGATGGTAATATATCAGAAGCACCTTATTACATATGTGAACAGACTCTCCCATGGTGTTATTTAGTCAGCAGTAAAAGGACACTGAGTGAGCCTGGATAATGTGTGACACATTTGCAATGACAAAGCAAGTACCTTTTTCATGTCTTATGCAAGGATTTTGGTAAAACAATGAGTCACCCAAGTCTGTCATAACACATTCTACCAGAGGCCAATTTTTGTCTCCCTGCAAATTATGATTTTACCAAAGTTTAAATTGCTGTTGAACCACCACAGATGAGACAAGGGAGAACAAAGACAACTGATGATGATGCCAATAAAAGACTTTGCAGACTACTTGTAGAAGTAGAAGAGGCACTAGGATAAGTGTAAGACATCTGAAGATGGAGTACTTTGAAGAGGACTAAGGCGCCATTGCACAAAGGAGGTTATTTTATTTTCATTAAATAACTGTATACTTTCCAAACATACCCATTAATTCTTTTTGAGGTGCTAAATGCAACTTACCACTGGAACTGGTTTCTTTTTGAACTGCTTGTCAGGCACAATGTAATCTTTTTCAGTAAAAGCATGGAGGAGGAGATATTCATTTCGTTCAGATCGGCCTCCCATCAATGTTCGAGACTAAAAGAAACAAAGATGAACATGGATGGAGATAGGTAAATTGGAGGCTGCAGGTGGGGAGACAGGACGCGTGGGGAGAGAGATAGGGATAGGGGAGACGGGGTAGGGGGACGGGGGTATAGATTGCTAGTCATTCAATTTTTTTTCACTTTGAGTAGTATTCTTTTCAGATGATACAATTGCATATTTTATTCATTTAAAAAAAAAAAAAAAAAAAAACTAACTCTTTCCAGTCAGCCAATCACGACATGAACATTTTATTGCATATGCCTCTTCACAGAAACCACCAAAGCTAGATATTGAGTAAAAACTTCCATACCATATAGGGTCCCAGTAGAATATACACAACGAATGTGGGTGATAAAAATATTCTTTGTACATTTATATTTTTTATTGACATGTGACAGCACAAAAGCTCAATAATTTTCAGTTGTTCCAGCAATATTCATCAGTGTTTATTGAATAACGTTTGTCTCTCACTCCAATCAAATAACATCTACTATAAGGGTGGGGATGTGCATAGCCTGAAAAGGTTCTTTTACACTGTGTCTTATTAGCATGTTGAAAATCAAGAAATAAGGATAGAGCAGAATATTAATATCTGTCAGCATATCAGCAGCGAGAAAAGAGTTTGGGTGGATTGGTCATGTTATCAGGAAGCCTGAAGACTCCCCCAAATCGGATCCTATATAGGGAAGGCCAGCACTATGATGGAGAACAGAAAAAAATGCTTCAGAAGATCACCTGAAATTATGCTAAAATGATGTGGTATAAATCCTGCGGAACTGAAGTTAGAGCAGTCATTTGCAACAGTTGCAGGAAACTATGCCATTGAAAGATTTGAAACTAGCCAAACACGACTAGGAATTTTGCCAGCAACAATGTTGTGATCACCTAGTGCTTGGGGCCACTGCCACCAGGTGTCGGCATTTAGTGTCCAACCTGGAGACGGCAATGTACGTTTCAAGTTGGTCTTTGCAGCTACCAACATGTCAATCAAGCAGTGATTTCTTTGATCTACATTCTTCTTATTTAATGAAGCTGTCATCATCAAGGGACTTCCTAAAGTATTAGCGTGTTAAGAACAGTATTTATGTGAAAATATTAAATGACAAGTATTAGACAATAATGATGGCAATTATATAAATGGAATATATGGTATAGATGGGGGTTAACTTGTGTAAATAATTAACAAATTCAATTTAAATTTTGAGTTAAGTCTAAAAGTCTGGTCGAATTTAGGAATAAATTCACTCTGGAAAGGTAAGTACACCAATAACTTAAAACTAGTATGTTCCATTTCAAAGATTAAAAAAAAAAGGAGAAAGATACAGAAAAATAGTTTGAATTTGGGACATGAGTCAGTCCCTGTTAAAAAAAAAAGGTTTAATTTGGGACATGTGGCAGTCCCTATTTAAAAAAAAAAGAAGTTTTAATTTGGGACATGAGCCAGTCACCATAAAAAAAGTAGAATGAGATGATACCATTTCGTAAAATTAAAACAAATCAAATAAAACTAAACCAACAAAATGGTAAAAAAATAAAATATTTATAAATTGCTATCAAATAGTATTTATCTATGTCCCTACTCAAACAGAATATGGCACAAGGTTGAATTTCAAGTGAGAATTCAACGCATACATACGACCAGAGGTTAAATATCTTTAATTTGATCTTAGCAAAAATGAGATGAACTCAGAAATTGTGATCTAAGGGAGATCATTTGCTATGTCTTGTCTTCATTATGTTGTAGAGTTATGCAACTTTGTAATGAAAGCTAAATTCTTAATGACCACATTAGCTATTTTATTTATATAAAACTAAATTTACAGAATCTATAAACAGGTATACACAATTTAAAAAATCTGAAGGTCCACACTGGTCGCAAAAAAATTAGGCATAATTCTTTGTATTTTTTTCTACTGAACTTTATCTTTTTTTTTTTTTGAGAATAACAAAACTTTTTCCACGTGTATGTGAATATCAAATCTGAAGAATTCAAACTCAGCTCTCCAATTTTTCATTCCAAGCGGCTATTCAATTAAACCACCCACACATCTGACAATTGAATTTGAACCTATTTATTTATTTTCAAGCATAAAAGAGAGAATTGATAGCGAAGACAATACAGAAATTATGACTGAAATAATCTGTTAAATGTATTTGCCATTCAATACATACCAAACACTACTAAATCTGATGCATAATTCTGATACTGACATCATTATTAATTTTATAGATTTAAATTTTAAAATCAAATCCAAGATGACATTACAATGTTGACACCTTACTATCAAATCAGACACTGATTTCTTGACCTTCATAATCTATAACAATGACAATATATGTCCGTATTCAAAACAATAGAATAAATCAATTTAAGAGATATTTACCATAACATTTCCACAAATAGAGGTGATCTGAAGGGCCAATGGTAAGACATTGAGTTCATACATGATACGTAAAATATAAGAACAGTCCATCAGGGTAAATTCAATCAATTTCATCAAGTTAGCAGAAGAGCTGCAAGGAAAAAAGAATATTACAATAAGCAGTAATAATGAAGAGATCTCACTGAAAGCAAGAATATTTGTCAATGACCATATCAGAGAAAATGTGTGTGTGTGTGTATATATATATGTACAGACACGTATTTAAGCACACAGGTATATATATATACACACACACACAACATACAACACACATGCATGCACCAATATATATATATATTTCAAGTTATATGACAGTTCCGTATAGGATACAGGTTCAATTCCTGTTGGAGGACAAATATTTTCTATGAAAATTTATCGGACATTCAGGCTGGTAAATGTTTAATACTGTTTATTATAAACAGAGCATTTACTTAAATATTTGTATCTATAAAAAGAATGTATAAACATAAAAATGTCTTAAAATAATTGTCGGACTTTGTCTATTTCATAATATATATATATATATACACACACACATACACAAATCTGTTACTGTATACCCTATTACAAAATTTGCAGAAACCAATCAAAATCCCTTACTTGTACATGTCCTTGATATGATCCTGGTCCACACTGATCCGCTTTCCTTTCAAGATCTGCTGAGTCAGTTCTGAAAGCTCGTAACTCTTCAAGTGGACAAGTTCATTGGCCGAGATTTTCACATCACAGATTAGCCTACCACAGGCAGCAGCCTTCTCAGCTGATGAGCCCCTGCCTCCCTGGATTAAATAGAAAAATCAATGGTTCCATTTTTTTTTTTAATAATTGTTTCCTCCCAAGCTAGGCAATAATGCCACTGAGATGCAATGGGTTACAAAAATGAAAAAAAATGAGAAAACATTACTAAGGAGAAACAACAATAAAAGAATGGTTATTTGATGTTGCATTTAAACTTTTGAAGATTGTAAGTGACAAGAAAGCAAAAAGCCAGAACTGAGACCCACAGACAAGAAAATTAATCAGAATAGAATTTATGGTTACATCTAGCTAGTTCAACTGTAAAATGATGAGACCTTGTTGCCAGTCTATGTACAAATCTGATTGATGTATTCATGGACATTTATTTTCATATTTTATTAACTTTTAAAATTTTTCAAATCAATTAAAGTACTTTTAACCAGCAGGATTACAATGGTAATAATTGTTTTCCTTACAATTTTCCAGTTGTTTCAAGAGTGATTGAATAAATTGAAACATGAACAAGAAAATAAGAAATTTAAAACATCCAATTGCTTTGTCTACATTTCTGAGATGAGGTACTATAACTATTTACATTGCTGTCCTCATTTCTACCATTGTACACTCCGGCCTTCTACAGGATACATTGCATAAAAGCATTAGTTACTTGACCCAAAGAGATGTAAGTTCTATCCCTGCCCTCAGCAGAGAGAAAACTTGGAAAGTTATCAAGGCTAATTAACTAAAACTGAAATATCCAAAAGGTATATGGAATCTACACCCATGGATGAAATAAAGGGTTCGGTTTAAAATCCCAACAAATATCACCTGAAGAAGATCGGGGGTGTACAACAGCCAAAACATTATGAGTGAAACAGTAAAGATGAGGACAACAGTTCAAACAAATGTAAATAGTATAAATATCTAACTGGTTTTCACAAATTCCATCTTACTTTTTTTTTTGTTTTGCTTTTTTTTTTTTTTTTGGCAATAAAGCTACAATATTTAGCTATCCCCCCCACGTGAGATTGAATGCGGCACAAGGCCGAGTTTATTGTGGGTCATCCGAGCCCGTAGGCCCGGCCAAAATATAGTTTTCAACCCGCCTAGGCGGGTTCGAGAGCTGTCAACCTCCCCGAACGAAACCTTGCCCTTAGGCAAAGCTTCGTCCGGGTTCCTCCCTGCTAATGCAGAGAGTTAGACAGATGGCGCTGACTGCAACTTAATACAGCTACTTTGGCAATAAAGCTACTAGGACACAAAGAGGTTAGTGAGTGTTAGAGAATGAGAGAATAACCAGCAAAGTATTGACATGGGAAAATGATATTAGAAACAAAGAAAAGAGTGTTGAACTGCTATGTAATACTAATCTCCTATATGGCAGTGAATACTTGACAATATCCTCATGCCTTTCAGAAACTAAACAAAGTATCAAGACATGGGAAATTGTTATTAGAAATAAAGAATGCCGAATTGCTATGTAATACCTAAACTCCTACTCAGTGAATACTAGACAATTTCCTAGTACATTTCAGAAACTAAGCAAAGTATTAAGCTATAGGAAAATATCATTAGCAGCAAAGAAAAGAGTGCTGAACTTCTATATAATATCTAATTTCCTATATGGCAGTGATTAAGAGACAATTTTCTCACACATGGCCCAGTGGATAAAAGTATTGGTTGAGTAATCCAAAAAGTGACTTGACTTAAAGAGTTGAGAGTTCAATATCTGGCCACAGCAGAGGGAACAAAAGCTTGGAGAGTTGAGATACTAAATTAACTGAAACTAAGATATCCCCCACCAAAAAAAAAAAAAAAAAAAAAAGCCATGCCATGTGGAATTAGAATAATCTACCCCCATGGACTAAATAAAGGATTCAGTTTGAAATTCCAATGTATATTACCCGAGGAAGGCTGGAGCATACAACAGCCAAAACATTATGAATATGGCAATAAAGATGAGGACAACAGTACAAATGATGTAACTAGTTACAATACCACATCTCAGAAATCGAGACAGATATGAAAAGAAAACTTGAAGCAACAGTAATGTGTTTCTTCCAACAAATGTTAAGAATACCATGGACAGAACAAGTGAACAATGAGGAAGTCTTAAAGTAAACATGAACAAGAAACCTTTCTGGGACACAATAAGGAAAGAAGGCCAAAAAGAATCTAATACTCACAGGACATACTGATGGCAAGAGAAGCGGGGGAGGGGGAGAAATGGCAAATAAGCAACTTAAATTTGCGTGAATGGGTAACAGAACAGGGACAAAGAGAGATAAAGGGTTAAAAACTATTTAGAGCAACAAAAGTCAGGAAGTTGTGGAGAGCTATGATTGCCTACATTTTGAAAGGACTCAGCATATCTGATGGCATATAAGACTATCGTTTAATATCAAAATAATATCTGAGGATGAACTAAGTACTGACACTTTATGGTTTCTTGGTAAATATTAGCCTAGAGCAGTGGTTTTCAACCAGGGTTCCTTAGAACCCTAGCATTCCGCAAGAAGTTACACAAGTACTATGATTGACAGTAATTTTTAATACTCCTGTGCAGATATGTGTGTTTAGGTACCTCCACTAAATCAATAACAAAACATCATAGTATGAATAAAAAAAGGAATATCCTGCAATTGCCCAGAAAGCACTGTGCCTTATGCAGTTTTCAACATCCTACTTGTGTGAATTTGGATTTTCAGCTCTGACAACCATCAAGCATAAGAAGCGAGCACAATTGCTGTCTGTGGAAGATGAACTTCGTGTGTGTCTGTCAAAAACATGACCCAATATTAAAGATTTGTGCAAGAAACATCAGGCTCAAGTTTCTCATTGAATTTTTAATGAAAATAAATGTAATCCATTTAAACTGAAGTTTTTTAATACATGTGTAATAACCATAAAAGCAAGATTAAAATTGCATATGGACGTATACATTATTTTTACAGTTTGTCTTTGTATTTTTTTGTAAATAAATCTGAAGATAAGTATTTTTATTTTATTTTAATAATTGAAAGCTTTTTTTTGCATAAGACAATTTATTGCAGGAATTCCTCGAGTCACTGGAATGTTTCCTTATGGTCCCGCTCCAGCAAAAAGGTTGAAAACCACTAGCCTAGAGGATAATTCAATTAAGGAGGTAAGACCCAGGAAATATGTTTTGAACCCCCTTTTTTATGGGTGGGAGTAGGGTATTTTATATGCCATCAAATACAATAGTTAAAATCAATGTCTGATGCAAGAAGCTAATCCTTTCTCTTGATCGGAAAGAGGCTTTCTTCTTCCCCTTGTGAATATCTATGCAGATGATACAAGAGTATACAGGTGCACTTGCAAAAATCTAGACGGCCAGAGTATGATAGCTGATCTCTCCTCTGACTGACAATGAAGGAAAAAAATAGTTGGTCCCATTCAAAAAGAAAACTTGTAATGCTCCATCACCAAGCAGCCTCAGAATTTCCACCTATCACAAACAGGTGTTCTCTGAAGAAAGCCCCTTTCCTTGGATGCCTATTGGGATTCCCAGATCCCAAATGAAACTCATATATATGATCCATCACAAAAGATGCTGGGGAAAATGGTCGGTTTACTGTACTGCTGCAGTAAAATACCTGACTACTACTGCTATCCTATACCTTTACAAGAACCAGATAAAACCATAAATGAAGTCTTGCTACCATATCTGGGCTGGAGCTACCCAATATTCACTTTCCAGGTTTGACAGTGTCCAATTTTTCTGTGGCCCATAAAATTATTCTAATGTAAAAAAAAAAATTAGTTCCATTTTGTGGCCCCATATTAGCCGAGTGGACCAGTGAAAATTATAAAATTTCTGTGGCCCTGCTGAAATTTGGCATGGCTCATTTTGGCCATAGAAACACTGCTTTAGACCACAAAACAACAATTCTGAAATATTTGATCATATTAAAAATGATATTATAAAAACAAATCTGGTATTAATTATAAGTCTACCTATAACTCATTAACACACATAGTGGGATGGTAGGCATCAATGGGTCAAATACCTAATTTCGGACACACACATATTATATATATGTCTTTTTTCCTTAATACATATGGGAAAACTGTAGTTTTAGCCGACACATTTCATCCAATGTGGACATTTTCAAAGCAAAAAACAAAATGAATTTATTGAAACAAAGCATCTATAAACTAGAAACAAAATGTCAGCAACAAGAAGAATTTAGAAACGCTATTGTATATTCATATGGTCAAGCGAAAAATTACGTCAATTACTTTATGTTTGAAGAGAATATTTTCACATGTAGAAATATTGTTTGTATTATTGTGTTGATTCAAACATTTTCTTTTGATTTCTTGATATAATTGGTGTGTACATTGTCTTGAATCACTATTCTCCCAAGCCAATGTACGCAACAATTATATCAAGAAATTAAAAGAAAACGGCCGAATCCATCAACACAATACAAACAATATTTCTGCACGTGAAAATATTCTCTTCAAACCAAGTAACTATAATTTTTCAGTTGACCATATGAATATACAATAGCATTTCTAAATTCTTCTAGTTGCTAACGACATTTTGTTTATTTATAAATACTTTGTTACAATAAATTCATTTCGTTTTTTGCCTTGTCTTTTTCTGCAAGTTAATTCTGAGAAATTTTTACATTTTTTTTTTTTTTTGAAAAGATAAAATTTTTCACAATTTAGTTAAATGAATTGAATATTGTAAAAAAAAATTCTGATAAAATAACTTACAGACAATTTAGGAACTGTTGATCGCTTTAAATTTTTTCATTTTTTTTTTTTTTGAAAGATAAAATTTTTCACAATTTAGTTAAATGAATTGAATATTGTAAACATTCTGATAAAAATAACTTACAGACAATTTAGGAACTGTTGATCGCTTTAAACGTCCAATCTTGGACCAGTGGGGAATTTTGTTTGCTGTGATTCGATTCAAAAGAATGTCAATATCAAAACCATAAATATCATGACCCTGCAAAAAGAATTAAAAAAAAAAAAAATCATATAAAATTAACAAACAATATAAATTGGTTACCCTTTTTATCTACACCAAAAGGCCACTCTATTTTAGTTTCCATGTACACTAACCTTCCTATGTATCTTTTGATTAACCATATAATGTAGACATCTGAAAATTGATATTTAAAACCGATACTTTGATAATTTTTTTATTTTCTTTATTCAATATCTAGACAGAAGATAGCAATATCTCTTACAAATTTATATTTATAAAATATATATACATTTACCTTTGCCCTTTTCTGCAGTTGGCACCATTTTGTTTGTCTGATTAATAAATCTCCAATTTTACTGGAAATTTAAAACATTTTTTGTTCAATTTATGATGAGTTTACCATTATAGGAGACATTTTAAAAACTTTTTTAATTAACAAGCATTTTAAATCTTAGAAATTTTCCTTACCCAGTAAATTACTTAGAGTTTATTAGTTTGCGGTTTACTAGTAATTTTGGAATTGTTCAGCTCAGGTTGTTAAATCAATTTATTTGAACATTAAATAGTTGCTTTCAACCTTACAAATATGTTATCTAAAATTTCTGATTTGGTTTGGTTTACCACATATCAACCTTAATAGGTTATTTAATGCCAACAAAAATTTTTATTACTGGTGATTTTTTTTTCAAAAATGTATTACTGGTAATATTTTTTTTCCTTTAAAAAAGTCTATTTCTGGCAATATTTTTTCCTTCCTAACAGATGCTACCAACTCAGGTAAGGTTTTGTTTGGTTTGTTTTACGGCATATAAACATCAATGGGTCATTTAATGCTGACAACTTTTTTTTTTTCCCCTGGTAATATTTTTTTGTCAAAAATCTATTTCTGTTAATATTATTTTTTCAAAAACGTATAGCTGCTAATATTATTTTTTCAAAAACGTATAGCTGCTAATATTATTTTTTCAAAAACGTATAGCTGCTAATATTATTTTTTCAAAAACGTATAGCTGCTAATATTATTTTTTCAAAAACATTTTGCTGCTAATATTATTTTTTCAAAAACGTTTTGCTGAAGAAACATATCGCTGGTAATGTGATTTTTTTCAAAAACATCACTGGTAGTATTATTTTTCCAAAAATTATTGCTGGAGAGACAAAGCTGGTAATATTATTTTTTTCAAAAACGTATTATCAGGGGTCTTGCTGTTGGACGTAGTTTATAGTCATACCCAGGACGCGGATGCAGTTTATCGTTATACCTAGGATGACCCCAGGTCAGGATGGACTAGAGAACATCAAGAATTAAGAGAAGGTTCCATACTCCTCAAAACCTCCTGATCAGAGGCCTTGCTGCTGTACGTAGTTTATCGTCTTACCCAGGACAGCTGGATCTTTATGGCACAGGATAACATCCTATAGCACAGGATAACATCCTATAGCACTGAGTTATAGCAGAATACTGGCTTACATAAAAAGCATGACTAAAGTTATGTCCACTTGTGAGAGAGTCAAAAATAAAAAAAAACAATCCGTAACACCAAAAAAAAAAAAAAAAAAAAAAAATATATACTCACAACTATCACATCTGGATCAACTTTGTGGATTTTAGCCAGCAAAAACCCAAGCAATGCTCGCTCAGTTGGTGAGACTTCCACTTTCATGTTTTTGTTCTAAAGAAAAGGGGAAGAAAAAAAGATTTTTTTTTCTAAAATTTTTATTTATTTTATGCTGGTAGAATTAAGTTTTTTATACAGAAGTAGTAAGAAAAAGATCAAGCATTTCAAAAATTGTCAACAAAAGACTTCAAATTTTATGTGATGATATTGTAAACCATAATTCACTTTGTTATGCTTTTCATCACAAATCAAATCGTTATCTATGTTCAAGCAAAATGCTTTAATAATATTCAAGTATGTCAGATGAAGTATATTGCTAACTATGATTAATTTTTAACAAGTATTTCTTTCATTTTAATTGTAGCTGCTTTTCCTCTAGTCATATTAGCTAATAATATTATCTTGGGTTTTTATTAGATTGCACATTGTTAATCATTAATTTTGTGGCTGGTATCTGATTTTAATTTTAGTCACTTTTCATTGAAACTACTCAGACCCTAAGTCTATGATCACTAGATCTTTTGCCAGCTGAAAACACAGCTTATGCAACCATTATATAGAAAATGGACTACCAGAGAGAAAAATAACACAGGTTTTAGTCTCCAATTTTTGTATTGATTACAAAATGACACTGAGTAGTTGAGCAATTAAAATTTAAACAACAAAAAAAAAAAAAAAAATAGTAAAAAATTAATGAAAGTAGACAATGATTCATCTAAAAAATGAAATTATCACATCTTATGACAAATATAACTTATTTTTAGTAGATACATGTATGAGTACATACTCCATTTATCAGAAACGATTTCATCTACTGGTCTGCACATTAGAGAAAACTACTGGCAGGATTCAAACATGCTTGCCCCATGGCAGGAGAAACCACCATCTGATCTGGCATGCTTTAAACACTCGGCTACAAAGAGCTTCACAATCAAGCAAGGTTCTATTTTGCCTTTAAAAGAACATTCACTCAAAATTTTCTTAAATGGCATATTTTCTGTTTTGTATCCAAAACATAAAGCTATTTCTAAGGAGTTAATGAACTTTATTTTTTTAATACAACATTTTTATTACTTCAGACATATCAGAATTAAAAGCCCTTTAAATTGATTAAGCAAGTATACCATTGTCATCATACTTATTATAAAACCCAGGTTGTGTGTGTGTGTGTGTGTGTGTGTGTGTGTGCCTGTACATTTATATATTGGATCGGATTTCCTACATTTTTCAACCGATTTCAACAAAACTTCACAGGACTACGTAAAATTACCTTGCGGTGGTTCTGACAGTGCCAAAAACTGGAAAAACAATTGTTTTTGCATGAAATCAATTTGAAAACACGATTAAGAGGCATCACTGTCACGAGAATGAAGGGGAACAACTCATATCAAGTTACACTTATTATAAAACCCAGGTTGTTTGTGTGTGCATGTGTGTGTATTTACATATGGGATCAGATTTCCTACATTTTTCAACTGATTTCAACAAAACTTCACTTTTTTGGGGGCAGGTAGTGTTTCTTATTGTCTTTCACACTTTTTTTCTTTATTTTTACATTCAGAATGTTTTAAAAATTCCATTTACAAGACAATTGTTTATAATAAAATTCTATTCAATTGGTAGACTCATAACAATTGAAAACAATGTTTTTGTTTGAGTTTGACCAATTCGTAAAAAAACAAAACAAAACAAAAAAAAAAACCTAATTAAGACATGCGTGTCCGTCAACCTTAAACAATAATCTTTGTCGATTTTATTTTTCAGTCTTTATGATGGTCGATACTTGATCTATCTCTTACTGTTACATCCCCGGGCAACGCCAGGCTCTACTGCTAGTAATAAATAAATGTATACATAGTATATAAAGTGGATTTAAGGAGATATCTGAGCTTGACATATTTTTAGAATCTAAACAAACATCAAACTCTAATATTAAATTATAATAAACAGAAAAATAAATAAATATAATTTTTTTTTAAGAATTTTAATTCTCTTTATTACAAATTATAATAAATAGTTTTATTTGTGTTAATAAATGAATTAAATTTCATTACAGTGTAATTTCTGTTCCATAAAATTCAGCATTCATCACACCATTGCAATCAACTTAAATTTTTTAAAATTAACTTTTTTAAAATAATTTTTTTTAATAATTCTTAAAATATATTTTAAATAAATTTTATATATTAACATGCATGAATTTAAATGTGCTACTAGGTTAGCATCTTGGACCCACCCTTTCACTGTCGAAACAGTTAAATGTAGCCATCTCTTCTACTCCAACAGCTTCTTATCTTATACCTCCCATCAGTGGAACTCCCTTCCTATCACTTGCTTCCCTGATAGCTATGATCTTCAAATATAATGTCAATCGACATCCTGTCCTTCTCTTTATCCTTTTCCCAAACACTCCTCTTTATTCTTACTCTCTGTAACCCCTTGCATGCTAGTAGCACTCCCGCCTTGCTTGAGGTGATTTGGGTTTTTTTTTTTTTTAAGAGTTTTTGTGAAATCATTGAGTTCGAAAATGGAAATGTACATCAATAGAAAATGTTTATTCAGCAAAATTTCAGCCTGTGATATGTTGAGAATGGTTAGGAATTTTCACTTAAAATTTTCATGATTTTCTAATCATTATAAGATCTACAACACACACATATATATATATATATATATATATAAAAATCTATTTTTTTTGGTGGGGGGTTACATTTTTTGGTTGAATTGATATGGAATGACTGATTTATTTTTCAATTTGAATTTTTTATTTTGTAATATACAAACAATAGTAAAAATGAAAAACAGTCAATTGGAGATTTTATCAATCAATGGAGATTTTTTTATTGCTACTGTATGTTTTTTTTCTTTGAAAAATTTGAAGGGGAAAGGTGGGGAGAGAGTGAGTGTGTATGTGCGAGTGCAAACAGAATTGACACAATTTTTCCAATGGAAGTTTCTCAGGGTTGGCCAGGCTTCTAGTTTGTTTAAATTTCCAAAGAGAAAGAATTGTACAATTGTTTTGTTTTTATATTATTTCTGGGAGACCAACCAAATGTTCAGCCATTTGAACAACTCTTAGAGAAAATATTTTGTAACAGTTTTGCTTTAATGTCGGTTCAAGTCTAATGATGGGTTGATCTGTTTGGTACCATATACTCTGTCTACCATATTCTGTGTATATACAGCGAGAGGTTATTGAAAATTTGACATGAGTTTAAAATTCACTTACCTTTTGCAACTTGTTCTTAAAGTCAAATGGGAATATACAGTCAGTTGGTTTGCTGATAGCTGCAGATAATTGAAAAATAAATTTAAATGCAATGTGAATCATTATCTTCTGTCTTAATTCCTGTTCTTTTATTGTTCTCTCTCTTTAATGTGTTCTTTTTCTCATATTCTCTCACACTCAGTAACCGTTTGCATCTTAGTGGCTCTATTGCCTTACTTGGAGTTAAATGTTGAATAAAAAACCTATCTAGTAAAAAAATATATGACTATTTATGAGGAACATATGAACCTATTAATCACATATGTCTTGGTCTTTTCTCTCTTGCTTAATTCTTTGTGCATTAACATATGCACAATTAGGAAGCAAACAATATATCAACAACAATATTTTTATAGACAAAACCCTAATTTGGAAACTCATTTTTAAGTGTCAAATTTTTTTCTAGTTTACTACTCGTACTTATATTAGGTGGGAGAGTCTATTAACTATAGAATAATCATAAAATGTATATTTATAAGTCAGTATAACACTAGTTACTTTATTTCTAAACAATAAAAAGTTACTTTCATGTTTATTTTGTTTCAGGTCAAATTTTTGTTCCAGAATATGTTTTCTGTTTCATTAAAACTGTTTTAACATGGTGTTGTGGAATGATTTCACAGTGGAGGCTTGTATTTGTACTAAGTCAGTCCTAAAATAGGTTCGACATACAAAACGTTGATATAATAGATATAACGAAGAGTAATCTAGTTGTGGTCGCTGATACTTTAGTATTCGACTGTCACCCAGCATCGACTGACTGACTCACTGACTGCCCCCAACATTACTCTTACTACTACTTATTATAGGTGGGAGAGTCTATTAACTATAGAATAGGTATGTTCCACTATAACACATGGGTAATTCATTCAAAGATTAACATGCATATAACATTTCGTACACCCTTGTTGATTGGGAAATAATGAATCTAAAGCTCCACTGAATTATATATTCATTGTAATAACTAAAAAGAAAATATACCATGATGAAGAGGATTAACTTTTTGAGCCAAATTAATCATGCTCGTAATCTCTACATTTTTTCAATGAATTTCTAAAGCTTACTACAGCAATAAACTATCGCAAATCCCAACCAAAATTAAAAATCTTTGCTCTAAGTGGAATGACAAGATTTAAGATAAGCCTCCAGTTCTGGGCAAGAGTTACACTATGACTTGACCTTTAGTAAAAAAGACGATAATTGACAAGATGTAAAAGCCTGGTTATATCAGGATGATCAATGGTCAGAGGTAACTGGAAAAGTTAGGGATGTCCACGCAAATTTCTATAAGCATTTAATTGGTACAGGGAATGAGTAAATATTAGTAGGTTTATAAGCATTTACATGGTTTAGTGGTAGTAAAATATTAGTCTTTTACACTTCAGTCAATAAGCATTTATTTGGTTTTGAAATAGGTAGACATATTGTTAATGCTTACACACACACACACACACACACCTGATTTGATGTACTCATCTCCCATAAATATAGCAAATTTTAGTACGTTAGTAAATTGGTAGAATAATGGATAACAGCTCGGATAGAGGAATCGGAGAGCTGAGTTTGAATTCCAGTTGAATCCATCACATTCACTTACGTGATAATATCCTTAGGAAAGGTATGAATCCTCTTCTCCCCACCCCAGCTATGGGTAAATAGCAGGACAGACCAGGTTCTATAGCCTTGGATGGCAACTAGTCTACCACCAACTGCTCTGACAAGCTTTTTCCCTGGTGCCACGACTACATGAATTTAAGCATGCTACTAGATTGGCATCTCGGTCCCATCTTTTACTCTTGAAATAGTTAAATATAACTGCCACTTCTATTCCAAGTTTCTTTCCTCACATTTCCCAACTGTGAAACTCCATTCCTCTTCCTTGCTTCCATTATAACTACAATCTTCAAAAATGCAGCGTCAACCGCCATCTTCTGTTGACTAGAACCACACCGGTGCATTTAATACTGTTGTCATTTCTGGTCTGGTGCCCCAGATGTTCATCTTGGGGTTCTCGACAAAATCCAAAGAAAGATCTGCAATATAATCAATCCTAACTTGGCATCTCGACTTCAGTCACTTTCTCATAGACGTGATGTGGCTTCTCTCTGTCTTTTCTACAAATATTTTCATGGCAACTGCTGTGACGATCTTTTTTCCCTGGTGCCCTTACATGAATTTAAGCATTCTACTAGATTGGCCTATAGGTCCCACCCTTTTACTGTTGAAATAGTCAAATGTAAATGACACTTCTATTCTAACAGTTCCTTTTCTTGCACCATTTTTTTTTTTTTTTTTTTTTAACAGAGGAACCAAGTTTGGTAGCTACAATTCATTTTGAATAGATTGTTTAATTTATCAATGTGAACTGTTTAAACCAGTCCTTTTTATATACCCATCTGCAATGTAATTGATCCTGACCTGGCATCTCATTTTCATTGAGATTTCTTGGAGAATCAGACTGGTGAACTGTTTTTTAATACTGTTTATTATAAACAGAGCATTTACATAAATCTTTGTATCAATAAAAAAAATATATTAAAATAATTGTTGGACTTTGTTCATTTCATAATATATATCTCAAAATAAAAAGAAAGAACAGTCAGATTTATAATCCAAAGTTCTTTCACATTTCATTTATTTTTAAAAACAGTGCTCGATGCATAGTAGAGTATGATATTTTTTTTTATATATTGTGACCATTTTGCTGAAAGTTCCTATTTTCTTGATTTCAAATGAAAACTTGGAACTTTTCAAACATATTTCACCGAATTTACACTATTTACATGATTGTTGTCATATTTGCTTTTGTTATCACGTTTCTGCTGTTTTGCCTGCCTGCCTTCAGCATGTTTATGTCTAACTCACAAAAGTTGGTCATGAATTTGGTGACATAGTAAATGCGAGTTCAATCACTGAGCTGGGCAGTGTATACTTGGATTCAGTGGAAACAGGGTAAGCAATAACTGAGCAGTCCTAAAAATAAGAACTAGACGAGTTATTTCCCCTAGACATGGGCAGTAGAATGAGAATCTACCAGGCCTTCGGGCTGGGTTGCGACCATGCCTAAGTCTAGTTTGGACCATATCAGGACCTGCTAAGACAAGCCAAGACCAATTTGGACCAAAACTTGACTAAGCCTTGACCAGCTTGGACATGTTATGACCAAAACATTGAAATAAGCCTGACCAAACATGTTATGAACAAAACATTGACTAAGCCTTGACCAGCTTGGACATGTTATGACCAAAACATTGACCAACCTGACCAAAACATGTTATGGCCAAAACATTGACTAAGCCTTTGACCAGCTTGGACCAAAACATTGACTAAGTTTGACCAGCTTTGTTATGACCAATCTTTTGACCAGTGACCCCCCTGCAGAAACGCTCAGGTTTCCCAAAAAAACGACCTTGTGTCACATCTTGACCCCCGTGGAGTTAAACTTAAATATTGCAGGCTTTTTTCATTTGAAATCAAGAAAATAGGAACTTTCAGCAAAAATGATCACAATATATAAAAAAAATATTATACTCTACTATGCATCGAGCACTGTTTTTAAAAATAAATGAAATGTGAAAGAACTTTGATTATAAATCTGACTGTTCTTTCTTTTTATTTTGAGATATATATTATGAAATGATAATAAAGGGTTCAGTTCAGAATTTCCTGTAGGTTACCTGGATTGGTACACACCTGATGAAAGCTGAAGGGCATAACAGCCAAAATGTAATAACAAGAAAGACGAAGATTATAGTCTGCAAGTAAATAGTGCAAATGATCTAAAGTTTCCTAGAAATTCAGAGGATATTTCATTGAAATTTTTGATGAGGTCAATTTAAATTGTTGCCAGGAGGATATAGATTAAAAATTATTTTAAACTGAATCAAATACACTGAAAATTTGAATCTTGTTCTCATGTAATATATAAAGTATAGTGTATGTGTGTGTGTCCAAGCAACTGTTCTGTTCCCACTTGTCCGATTTCAAGGATTTATAGCTCATTCAAAAGCCCTAAGAAATTTAAGCAAAGAAAACGATTTACATTGAGCTCAGATTCAGGGTTGTCAGATTATGCGAGGTTAAAAATATATATTAATATACTATACAGCCATTATTGTTGCTTTCATGATTCAAGGGGAGTAACTCTTATTTTCCTTTTGTATCCAAAATTGCAGTGCACATTTTATTATAAACTAGCTTAAAGCCACCTTATCGAATGGACTCTTTGTTTGGCTATCATCACAATAGCTAGGGATTACTAGATTCGATAGGCATCAATAAACTACTGGAAGAACTCAAAATTGATTGCTGCATTTAAGTATTGAATTAATGTTAAAGATTAGCTTTTAAAAAAAGTTCAACGATAATTCTTCTTCTGCTACTTAATTTAAAGACAATTTTATGTAGGTAGATCCTTGTTTTCCGGACAAACAATTATTTTTATTTCATGGGTGACAGAACGGGACAATTTAGAAGATAAAATTTATATAGTATAAAGATGGGAAAATAGAAATTAGAATTAGTTATACAGTGTAACCCAGATATAAGAGATTTTCAGTCCCAAATTAGATAATATATAGACCAAACCCGGATATAAGAGAGATTTCATCTGGTCCCAAATTAGAGCCTGTGTTAATGTATATAAAATAGACCAAACCCGGATATAAGAGACTTCTTCTCCGGTCCCGACAACTCTCTTATATCCGGGTTACACTGTACATTCAACATTTGAAGAGTTAGAGAAAAGTATATTATGGAATTTATATGAATGCAAAATTGGAGCTAAATTCTCCCATGAATTCTGAGATTAAAAAGCACCAACTCTACTTTATAGTAATTTCTATTTACTCAACCCCATACAAGGTCAAGTTGTGACACAAAGTCAGTTTAATGTGGGGACCTGAGCATGTACACCCAGGCGAGGAACAAAAATTCCTTGAGCCCCCACAACCATCAGTTGCACTGTCCTCAGTGCAAGCACAATCCCTCTCTCTGGCACAATGAGAGGGTGCAGCCTCAGGAAGCTGTCCCCCCAGGGCCAGCACCTCTCAGTATAATTTTCCTTAGTTCTGACTGTCCTTTGACAAAGCTGCCCCTATAAAATATCACTCTTCAGGTTTAACTAATTTGCATATTGATTTTAAAAAAGTTTATTTCATTAATTAACTGTCTTTCATTACTGTTCTTTTAATCAAGGATTGTTTTGATTTTCATATCAAAAATAGTTCTGTTTAGGAATATTATCTTATATAGTGCAGAAAAGTGTTTGAAATTTGCATTTTACTTGGCCTTCAACAAGTTGGCATCTATTTGTAAAACTTTCCTCAACTATAACAAGCCAATTTATGAATGAAATTGACATTTAAAATTTTTGTTTCAAAGATTTCAAGTAGTGAATATATCTTACTTTGTAAAGTGATAGCGAGCGAATGAAGCCTGCTAGTGTAATATAAAAATATAACTACATCAAGATTAAAACATTGGCATTTTTTTTGTGTACGATGTGAAGACTTCAGTTGAAGATATATATATCAACTCATAACATTTTTTTTAATGTTTAAGTTGGCTATTATGAAGTTGGTGTTTGATTTCATAATTGTCCTCTGGCAGTCAACATGTTAATAAAACTTTGTGTAATCAAAAGCAAAACTTACCACACCAATCATGATGGAATATTTTCTTTGTGGGTGGAGGCTTGTCAATAGCAAAGGCATTATTGACCAAATAAGCAGCAGCAATCACCTACAGAAAAAGATAAAATGTTTGCATTACATCTCAAAATGTAGCCAGAAAGATATCACACCATTACAGTTATCTGCCCTTGACTCATACTTCCACCATTAAAATTATATATATATATATATATATAAGTTGCAAAAAGAAAATGTTTTTTTTATGAAAGTATATTGATATTTCAGATTGACCTCAATCTTTCTTCAGAAATAACTGTTTACATGTTAAAAAACGTTTCGCCACTGTGTAATATTCAAAAATCTAAAATTACCACATAAACCAATCATGATGGAATATTTTCTTTTTTAATCAATCAGGACACTCATTAGAAAACTGTAAATGTTTATTGAGATTCTGATTTCATTCTACATACACACGCAGAAGAAATAAGCATCAGCAATAAACTAGGGCCTTGGGTATTTTAAAACTTTATAAATATTTCAATAGTTAAACACTTTTTTAGATAAATTTAAAAATTTATTTATTTTTTTTTTAACATTAAATCTTATTAAAATTTAGCCAGAAATTCGAACACACATTCCATTCACGCAACGGACAATTGTAAACAAACAGTTATTTCTGAAGAAAGATTGACTCATAAATATCAAATATATATGATATATATATTCTTTTAATTTGAATATATATATATATATATATATATATATATATATATATATATATATATATATATATATATATATATAGAGAGAGAGAGAGAGTAGATAAGTTGATCAATAAAACAAAGGCAAATGAAAGGGTACCAATGAAATCAGTACAGAAAACATTTATTAGTATTAACCAGGTGATAAAAATGAAGCATGGAGATTGAGGTTCCAAGTTTGGAATTTTTGAACATGCCTGGGTTCTTCATCAGTGGTGGGTGAGGGAATGAGAACATATTTAGATTTTGGCATTAAATAGACCATTTAGATTGATATGTCCCTAAACAAAGACAACAACCAACATAACAGAATCATTTGTACACCTCATCCACCTACTTACTATAATTCACAAGCTGTTAGTCTTTTATAAATTTTGGTAAGGTTAGTTTTTGTCTGTTCCCCACCTTACAGCAGTAAAACAAAAAAGAGCCCGCATTATTATGTAGTAATTTTCTCGTTTTTATATATATATATATATCTTTTATTCAAAAAATTATATATATATATAAAATCACTATAGCCATTTTGTTTCACACACTGGTGTCTTATCAAGTATATGTTGAATGTATAAAGGGCATAAATTCAAATTAATCAAACATCCCTCGCAAGGGGAAACACTGTTACAAAGATGGAATATAACAATAAAAGTACAAGTTCAAAAAACTTAAACTTTGGTTATAATATTTAATGCTTTAATTTTAGGGTTAGACTAACATAGAATTCATTCTAATTAATAAATATTAAATTATACTATAAAATTCAAAATTATCAAGGGTGTTTGATTGATTTGAACCTTTTAACCCCTTTATTCTACATTCAACACCATCACTTGATAAGACACTTTTAAAAAACAAATGGCTATTTTTGTAGTGATTTTTTCAAAATTTTATGTCATAATTTTCAAATAAATGATTATATTTGCTAACTGTATTGAGCACTCTTTTTTTGTTGGTTGTTGTTTATTCCGTATACCCAATCCTATACTTGGGGGTATATATATATATATTATATATATGTAATGGATAGTGGCTCGATTGAGGAAATTGAGAGCCGAATTTCAAATTCCAGTTGAATCCATTACATTCACTTATCTGTTAATACCCTTAGAAAAGGTATGAATCCTTTTTCCCCCAGTCACATGTGGGTAAATAACAGGACAGACAGGGCTCTAGGCCTTGACAGCAATCTACTGCAGAAAAAATGGCAACCTACTGCAGAAAAAAATGCCTCTTTAGTCATGTATCAAAGATATCATTGCCTGCATCATGCATGCTATAACTTTTTTTTTATATATATATATATATATATATACACACACACACACACTAACAAATGGTGTTTTCAATATTAACATTTAATTTGCATAACAATTTTTACAGTGTTATTTTTAATGCAAACTTTAAAAGATCACTACATACACGTGGTGAAAGAAATATCTCCCTAAAGTGGCAATGGTGTCATCATCTAGCTAATGTCTTACCATTATATAGAAAGCATTCCTAGAAGGTACCTTTTCCACACCCTGTATAAGTATTGTGTCTGTTGATAATGTTTGCATATTTTCCAATTCATCATGTTTGTATAAAAAGAATTTATATCTTCCCAAAATCCAGTTGTAAGCTAGCAGAAAAAAAAAAAAATCAGTATATTCAGATTTAAATAAAACAAAAATGTAATATTGGCTTTTAAAAACAAGTTGAAGAAACTTGTATAACCTGAAGAAAAAATTATTTCAATAAGTGAAACTCGTCTGTTGCTGAATTAATTTCTATTATTAATAAAAAAAATATATTAAAAAAAAATGTATTATAATGTAAATATACAACAAGGAACCTCACCCAGTTTTTCACAAACAGCCCACCTCCCCTCCATTGCATTTTCCTTCTTGTTCACACTAGTGTGCACCAATAATTGGGAAATGCCAACTGCAAGTTCACAAGGTAACAGAAGTTGAAAACAAATGCCACGTTGGGAAATGAGAAGTTGAATAGTTGTTTCTATTAAAATTCAATGTATGAATAGGTAGGTGACTATAAAACTTCTGCTACATTTGAAACAGCAACTCCTTTCCTCCATTACACATCACGACATGTGGCAAAAGCACAATAGACGGTCCCGTCATAAGGTGGACTAGTATTGACTTTTTTTTTTTTTAAATCCAACTGTAATTGTTAATATAGATCAGCAACCAGAAATAATAACTGGCTTGTTGTCACTTGTCCTCAAAAACTCTCATCCACTCATTTACTTTTCTATTCCCCTTCACTTAAGTGGATGCTGTCAAAAGATTGAGATAATAATCACATCTTCCTCTTTTATGTGGATGTCCCAATCATCATGTGATAACAACTTACTTACTTTCTGTAGGACAGGTAATTGACTAGTTACACAAATGAACAAAACAAAGCAAACAAGACAAAAGAAGTGTCAGTCAGTGAAATGCCATATGTGATATATGCTTCAGCGATCAGGTCTCTTGATTCATGACTGACTAGGCAGAAGATTTTCCATGCAGTAGGCTACCATTTCTTTCTGTAGGAGACTGGTTTCAATATCTGTCCTGCTTTTCGACCCAAGTGAAGAGATAGATTCATACCTATCCCAGGGGTAACGAACCCAATAGGAATTGGAACTTGGCTCTTAGATTTCTCATGGATGAAACATTATTCATTAGACCAACACCGCAAAAGAAGCATAGCCTTGTAATAAAGAGCAACAGAAGGGTCAAATAAGCAAGCAATGGGAGTGAGAAAGAAAAAGGGTGGTACACAAGCAATAATTGCTTCCTATTTGTTGATTTTATTATGAAAATAAAAATAAAAAAATGGCAAAATAACTGAGAATTGATCATCTGGATGGAAAAATGGAATCAAGAATTGAAATTGCACAAAGAGTTTACCATATTTTCTTGCGTGTAATAAAAGAAATTTTTGAACAAAAATTAAAAGGCTCAGGGGTTTCGTCTTATACACAAGTACATGTTTTCAGAAATTTTTACTCTGTTTAAAAAAAAAAAAAACTCATTTAAAGCAGCAATTGTTGGATTCATTTTTTATGGCTTATCAACCCTTTGCAGGTTATTTAAAAGCCAGAATTTTTTTTTTGTTTTAGATAATGATTTTGTGAAACAAGTCTTATTAATTAAGCCATAGCTGGGAGGAGAATTCATACCTTTCGCAATGATATTTGCACATAAATAAATAGAACCCATAGGAATTGGAACTCATCTCTGATTAACAATTCCAAGATATTATCCATTACACCACCTGCACATCCAAGCTTACAGCACGTGGCATTCCCAAACAGTCACTTTTATAAATCAGCTAACCTTTTCAATCAAAACCCTTACATAACCCTTAAACGCAATCAAGCCTTTTCTCATGTTTCCTCACCCCAATCTTGTATCATGAAACAGAATCTTTTTTTATGTAACTCTTTAACAGCTGTCAAGCCTCCATGAATGTCTACTTGACCTACATAAATGAGCTACCATTCACGTCACATGTGGGCAAGCTTGAAAAAGGCATTCAAAAATTAAGCAAAAAGCACCTAATTTAATGAGTAGCATCATTTCAATGAAAGATAACGACAGACTTATATTTTCTTGTGCATAAGACAAGAAAATTTAAGGCAACAAAAAGGAGGAAGGAACATGCTTTCAGAAATTTTTACTCTGCTTAAAACTCCTCTTATTTGAAACAGCAATATTGCAAATACACTCAGCACAATAGAAAATAAACACAAAGTAGGCAGGTATTGATAACAATAGTTTACAAAAGGTATTTGATATATCCCAGCAATATTTGTTTCTCTTCATTTTTTAATAAAGACAATATTTTTTCATAGTTTATTAATATATGTAAATATAATAAAGTCATATCAAACAAAAAAGTATGACATTTAATCAACACCTTAAAAATGTATTACCAGGTATGTCAAGTTAGTGCCTCCCCACTGCCCCCTAAATTTTTTACTCTGCTTAAAACTCCTTTTATTTGAAACAGCAAGATTGCAAATACACTAACAAATAGAAAAATAAACACAAAGTAGGCGGGTATTGATAACAATAGTTTACAAAAGGTATTTGATATGACTTGTATTTGAAACAGAATGATTGCAAATACATTCAAAAAATGACAATAAAACACAAATTAGGCAGTTGTTGATAACAATTGTTGACAAAACATATTTTTATATATCTGCAATACTTTTCATTCTAAATTAAAAACAATATTTTATTCTAATACTTTATTTATATACAGAAATATAATAAAGTCATATCAAACAGAAAATTATGATTGATTAATTAACACCTTAAAATGTATTACCAGGTGTGTTTAGTTAGCACCTTTCCCCGAAAATTCAAAAGTTTTGAAATGAATATTACAAGAAACAGGCAATAGACATCTGGTTCATTTCTATTCTTTAATATCATGAAAAATTGAATATTTTAGCATAATATATTTATGACATTAAAATTTTAATGGATCACATGGTACAACTTTCTTTTAAAAATCCTCATCAGGATAGCTGTACTATATTCAAGGATGTAGTTTATTCAGCTTTTAGCTTCAGAAACATTGGGTCGTATTATACTCAAGTTGTATTTTACACAGGAAAATATGTTAAGATGATTGCTTCAGTAACATTACTGGCTCAGAGAAACCAACTTTTAAGAAAAAGACAAAACAATGAATATTATAACAGTAAATAAAAGAAATAGCAAAAAATTAAAATCTTTGTTTTTACCTCATTTTGATGGGTCTTTGGATTCGGTAAAGTCCTCAAGTTGAGGGTCATTACAACCAAGGGAGGAATTGGTAAAGGTTCTTTAACAACAGTGAGGTCCACCAAATTCTTTATTGTGGCCTATTTGATAAAAAATAAATAACAAAAAATGATGAGCTACAGGAAACACAAATATACATAGAAACCACACAAAAAAAAAAACACAAAAATAAAATACAAAAAAATAAAATACAAAAAAAATAAATAAAAAAATAAAATACAAAAAAAAAAAAAAATACACACAAAAAATAAATAAAATACAAACAAAAAAAAAAAAATAAAATAAAATATAAAATAAACACAAAAAAAATAAAATACAATACAAAAAAAAATACACACAAAAAAATAAATAAAATACACACAAAAAAATAAATAAAATACACACAAAAAAATAAATAAAATACACACAAAAAAATAAATAAAATACACACAAAAAAATAAATAAAATACACACAAAAAAAAATAAAATACACACAAAAAAAAAAATAAAAAAAAAAAAAAACAAAATAAAATACAAAAAAATAAATACAAAAAAAACAAATAAATACACACAAAAACAAAATAAATACACACACAAAAACAAAAATACACAAAAAAAAAACAAATACACACAAAAAAACAAACAAATACATAAAAAAAAACAAAAAAATACACAAAAAACAAAAATAAAATACACACAAAAAAAAACAAAAATAAAATACACAAAAAAAAAAAAATAAAATACACACAAAAAAAAAAAAAATAAAATACACACAAAAAAAAAATAAAATAAAATACACACAAAAAAAAAAAAAAATAAAATACACAAAAAAAAACAAAAATAAAATACACACAAAAAAAAACAAAAATAAAATACCTAATAAAAAAAAAAAAATAAAATAACGCACAAAAAAAAACAAAAAATAAAATACACACAAAAAACCAAAAATAAAATACACACAAAAAAAAAAATAAAATACACAAAAAAATAAAATAAAATACACACAAAAAAATAAAATAAAATATACACAAAAAAAAATAAAATAAATATCACAAAAAAAAATAAAATAAAACGTATAAAAAAAAACAAATTTCAAAATGTAAGGAAAAAAAAACAAAATAAAATGTTCATACAAAAAAATTAAAATTAAAACTGTCTGTGGAAAATATCTTCATATCGTTTAAAACAAAAAATTTTCCTTAAAGGGGGAAAAAACAAAAATTAAATATATTTTGTTATTTTAATATGGGGATTAAATTCATTTGCCCGATTTTGTTTAAAAAAAACGAAAAACCTTAATTTTCACCTGTTCCCTTTGAATGAATGGGGTCCTCTTGCCTTTTCTTGTACTAAATGTGCACCCTGTTCTCTTAAAACCAAAAATTTGTTACACAGACTCAACTCCCCAAATTTGAATAATTCAGTTTTGAAAAGTCAATGTATACTATGACTTTTTGGAACATTCCTCCATGGGGTGGACAGAAAACAAAAATAAAATACACAAAAATAAAAAGCAGACAAAAAAACACAAAAAACAAAATGGGGTGCATACAGAAAAAAAAAAACAAAACAAAAAAAAAAAAAAAAAATAAAATACACAAAAAAAAACAAAAATAAAATACACAAAAAAAAAAACAAAATAAAATAAAAAAAAAATAAAATACACACACAAAAAAAAAATAAAAATACACACACAAAAAAAATAAAATACACACACAAAAAAAATAAAATACACACACAAAAAAAATAAAATACACACACAAAAAAAAATAAAATACACACACAAAAATAAGTAAAATACACACAAAAAAAAATAAGTAAAATACACACAAAAAAAAAAAAATAAATAAAATACACACACACAAAAAAAAAAATAAATAAATAAAATGCACACAAAAAAAAAAAAAAAAATATGAACGGCAAAAAAAAACAATACAAAAAGCCATCAGAAAACACAAGAAATTTAAAAACAAAAACACAGTCAATTCATCATTGTTCACTGGGAGACGCCTAACATGAAATTTCACAAATCACTTGACAGGTTCAATCATCTACATTACATTCTGTATAAACTTCAAAAAGTCTTGTATGTATAAAGTCACATTTTTATCTTTCTTGGAAAAAAAAAAAAAAGACCATGATGCACCAAAAACATCATTTTCTTTCACATTCATTGATAGAATCAGTCTACAAAAATTATGCAAATTTTCACTTTTATAACTGGTCACTAAATTCTCTATTATTTACCCAACAGCTGAGATATCGATATTTAAACTTAGTGACTATCTTACTAAATTTGCCTTTTTGTCAAAGGGTCATATCTCAGGAACACTTTATCCCAGAGATATAAAAGAGGTACCATTCAATTTGTATTATGAAGCTCTATAAGTGTACTAAATTTGAAAATAAAAAATAAAATACCTGCAACAGTGATGGTCAGACCTTTATTGATTTGACACAGAATGACTATTATGTATATAAATATTTTTTTTTTAAAAAAAATGTCTCCATCATAACACAGAAATTACTGTTTTGAAACCAAAACTAAAGTCCTAAAGTTCAATTTCCAAAATTAAACTTAAAATTTAGAGCACAATTTAATTCTCAAGCGATGTTAAGAATAACTTACAAAGAAATTGGTTTATTCTATTTGTATGTTAGAAATGGTGGAGTTCCTATTTTTTATCAGGTGGTTTTGGCTTTTACAAATGAAGAGAGTAGGAATGTTTATTGTGTGACAAGTTTTTAGAGTTGTTTAAGGTTAGATAAGGAATTTCTGTCTGGCTACATTGGCCTTTTTATCAGGTTTTCAAGTTTTTACTGTCTGGTTTAATTTCTTCTCATTGGGGTCTAAGTTAGAATCTTTGCAGGTGTTTATTTTTTTTTATTTATTTATTGTTTTCTCTATATGACTACATTGATAGTTTCTTAAAAGGGTATTTAGATATGATTGAGTTATATTTTTAATTTTATAAATTTATATATGTTGAAAATTTATTCAATTTGCAAATAGACCCGACATGGTCTTGTTAAATTTTTATGTTTTAGGATTTAATTTCTTTCTTATAAATTTTTTATATTTTTTGATCGAAAATAGATATAAATATAGGTGTGTTACTTGATAATTTTATTTTTTTTTAAGGAGTATATGAGGCAATGTCCACAGAAAACCGCTATTTCATTTATTAAACAGTATATTTATTTTTTTTCTGGCCTAAATAGTCGAGAAATCTAAGAGAAAAATTTTTCTCTAAGATTTCCTGAGATTTCTCTAATATATTCTTTCTGACAATCCCTACGGGTATATGAAATTCCTCCTTCAAGTTTTAGCAGGTGGAAATATGTTGGAAGACCAAATCTAACTGAATATCTATCAGATATATAAAGCTATCCAATACCAAACTGGAAATCTTCAGCTTCAGTGTAAACAATGTATTAGAATTATTCTCCAAGTGGTCAATTCATAAGCAACATTATTTTGTTTCAGTGTTTTTATTTTGATTATCTTTGATTAGTTTTAGTGTTTTTTTTTCTTTTCTTTGTTTTTTTTAGGGTTTCTTTCAGTCATAAGTTTGTTTTCATTAAAGTGATATGTTTCTATGTAAGTTTCTTATATATGATAAATGGTATTGTAAAAAAAAAAAAAATGGATTGTTTGTAGTCAATTATAATCCCATGATTATTATTATTATTATTGTCATTGTCAATTTCTGTTGATTTGCCATTTGATAAAATCATTTACTAAGTTTTCCATGCTTGGATCATAGTTAAATAATTTTATTTTTGTCATAAAATTAATGAGCCAATATTATTACCATATTTATCTGTTATTACAATCATTTTTACCTCCATTGAAATCATTTTAGACTTGGTATTTTTATTACAAATGTCTTCTATTTTGTCTATGTTTCTGAGATGAGGTATTATGTACACTATTTACATTATTCGGACTATTGTCCATCTTTGTTTCTATATTAATTACATTTCGGTCATTGTACGCTCCGGACTTCTTCAGATGTTTGGAATGCCGAACTGAACCTTTTATTTCACTTGCTGGGGTAGACTGTTCCAGTTCCACATCTAATGGATGTCAGTTATCAGTTATCTCCTGTTAATTCCCCTCTACAAGTTCTCCACCGACTTAACCAGGTATTGAACTTACAGTTTTTGGGTCCTGTCAATGGATCTAACCAACACCTTTATCCACTGTGCCATGTGTCCTTGAGGACACAGTGTCAACAAAGGTTCAGTTCAACTACCTGAAGAAGGCCGATTTTTCCTCACTTTTACAGAGTTTCACAACACTGTCCTCTTGGAAATTTGGATCACTCATGTATCTATTGATATTGTGTTCCAATCATCTATTAAACAAGAACCTAAGACCTCTTTCGATCACCAGTATGCTGATTAGGACTCATTCCAGGACTTTTATTGAGACGCCACCTAGACTGACATTTTTAACCTTCAAATAGAGAGTTATAGCACTGAGGTTCCCTCTTGGGTCAAAGCTGGTATGGATGCTTTCATACCAGCATGCTTTGCCAGTATAGCACACAAGAACCACTATTTTCAGCTATACCAGCACAACAGCTCCCATCGTAACAGACAACTATTCATTGCTGCTTAAAATAAATTTAAACGAGTCCTCAAGGAAGCTAAGTCTCTGCTGAGAGAATGAGGGACTGAATTACATCTAAAAACTTTGGCTCTCATGATTACTGGCAGCTCAGTAATATTGTATTAAATGAGAGTAAGTTTCCTATTCCTCCACTCTTCAATCAATTTGAGGTGTTAATATCATCTGCAGATAAAGCTGAATGCTTTACCTGTAAATTCTCTAATTGACTTATTTCTCACCTCCTTTCCTAGCTCTTGCGTAGCTTCACAACACTATCCACTTGTAAATTGAATCATCTGGAGTATCCCTGCCTAACTTCCCCACCTAGAACCGAGTCTATGTTGAGTTATACGCATATAACCTCTTCTATGGTTTCTGCTATCATCACTAACCTGGATCCCCACGAAGCATGTGGACCTGATGGCATTCCTGTAATACTCATTAAATGTGCACCTGAACTGGCTCCTGTTCTCTCTAAACTGTAAAAAGTGTTTTGTGATGTCAATGAACACTCATTGCCACTTTCGTAATGCTCATTGTAGTACAGACTTTGTAATCGCAGGTACAACTATAGTAATGCTATTGAACAATACTGGGGTCAGACACCTTCGAATAACACTCATGCTAATAGTACTTGCTCATTAATACTCACTCAAATAGTAACCAACGAAAAGTAATCCATATAGTGAATAGTATAGAGAATAGCAATCCATATAGTAACAGAGGATAGTGTAGAAATAGTGATCAATTAGACGCCACACTAATTCCTATTTATGTGCTTCCTTTACAATCATGTGATCTACTTATTCAAAATGGGATTGCCTGTGTTTGTTCTCTGGTGACCATCTGACCCTTCCAACTATCAGCCCATTGACTTTCTACCTCTTTTTGGGAAACTACTAATGCTGAATTGGTTAGGCATCTCACATCAAAGGGTCTTTCAGACAATCAATATGACTTTCATTTCTCCAGGACAACTGCTGATGTACTGATGATAATTGTGGAAAGAGTCTATCAAGCTTTAGATAAGAATGGTGAACCCCTGGCTATAACTTGGATATCTCAAAATCTTTCAGAGTTTGGCATACAGGTCTTCTCCACAAGTTGAAAAGTTACTGTGTCTCCAGACAAATTTTTGAGCTGATCCAATCTTTCCTATCAAATCATGAAATGAAAGTAATCCTGAAGGGTCACTCTTCCAGTTTCTTTTGTACTAATGTAGGTGTCTCTCAGGGTGCCATCCTTGATCCTACTTTATTAATTTTCATTAATGATCATCCCAATAGCATCAGCTTTTAAGTTGCTATCTATGTTGATGACACAACCATCTGCTGTCTTGATAGCAGGTCTGATCACTTTGATAAGGTCAAAGTGGCAGCTGATATCCAAAATGGCATTCAGTCTGTTGTTAACGGGGGCAAAGGAGGGTTTAACTTTAACACTTCCAAAACTAAACTGCTATGTATTAATCATCTGAGAGACCCCTCTCTGCCTTCCATCAGAGTGATTCATTGCACTTTCTCATGCTAACATTCTCAGATGACATGAAGTGAAAAGGTTATATTGAATCCATTAGTAAGTCAGTTGTTAAGAAAGTTGGTTCACTGTGTCATGCATGACAATTTTTCTCTTCAGAATCTATCTTACATACCTATCTTAAATCTACATATCTATGTTTACTATTCATCCATGTTTAGAATATTGTTGCCACATATGGTCTGGTACTCCTGCTATCTATCTAGAGCTCTTTGATAAAATCCAAAAATTTAAATCCAATATCAATCACTATTGATTATCCTCCTGACTACTCTTGTTCTTCCCCCTTCACAGTGTGTCCATTTCTAACTCTTCCACAAGTGCATGAAGTGAACTTGATTAAAAAAAAAAAAAAATCCACTCCTATAACAGGGTATTTTTTATTGCAAACGTCTTCTATCTTATATTCCAATCCACTCCTATAACATGTTATTTTTATTGTGAACGTCTATCTTATATACCAATCCACTCCTATAACAGGTTATTTCCTTCTCAAAAAAAAATCAAAAATAATTTACCTCCACTTTACACCAACTGAAAGGAGGATTAGGGACTTCTGAAAAAGAAAAAAAGCATCTTTAAAAGAAAAAAAAAAAAAAAAACTTATTTTCAATACTGTTGATTGATTTGTTTTATGTTTTATCAACCCTTTATGGATTATTTGAAACCAAAATATTTTGGATTATAAGATTGTTTTTCTGTTTGTAAGTGAATAGTACATTAATTTTTTTTTTTTTTTAGAGAATGATTTTTTTCCCCAGATATAAATCCTTATTTAACCCATAGCTGGGGATGAGAGAAAACAGATTTGTCTTTTTCCGAAATATTTGCACAGATTATTCATAATAAATTTAAAACTTAAATAATGATTCCATTTCTAATATTTCCTGTACACAAGTAAAAACAATAAAGTTATAACATCATTTCAATTTCAACCACATCATCATAAATCTGTTCTTATTTAAGTTGAAATGATCCTGTAATATATTGCACTAGTAATGACATGTAACATCAATATCTTAAAATCTTTTTCTTAGTTTCCAAGAGTCTGAATTCAAATAGCAATAAAAAAAAAAACTCTTTATTCATACTTCACCTTGTCAGAAGCAGAAGTGCCTTTATGCTTTAAAAACTACTAAGTCATAAAATACAAAAGCTGCTGACAGGTATATATGTTGTTTGTGTTCTCAAGAGAAAATAAGATATTTGCCAACATATACTAGTGCGTATGTGAACCAAGAATAAAAAATTAAAAAAAATATATTTAAAGACTGGATTCTATGAGAATTTATAAACAGTCATTATTCAAAGAATAGGAAATAGTCTATTTATACTAGTCTGATGGGGGGTGGAAAACAATCAACATCATTTCACCTTCAGGTGTAACAGTTTTGTTTTTTTTTTATTACTGGTGGATAAATGAAAGGTCTATTCTTTTGACTTTGGCCGAAAAGGCTACTTTTATTGACTTTTTCCAATGAACAAACTCACACTCGGCTGAATTTTTGTTAGAGTTATCTCCCTTTTAGCTAATTTTTTTAACACACCAAGAGTGATTGTACTATATCAGAATGTTTGTTTGAAAACTGCAAGCTAAAACGAAATAATTGAAAAAGAAATGCAGAATCCAACAAACTGATGAGAGAAATGCAATCAAAATCCGACTTTGATAATGGTCCCATAAAAAAAAAAAAAAAGTGATATATCAATACATAACCAGAATTCATCATCTCTAATCTCTTAATTTACTTTATTTTATTTATTTTATCAGTTGTAAGCAAATTATCTAAGTTTGATATATCCACAGCTTATTGGTTAACTTATAGACAAACTGTTTAAAAGTTCAAGACAAATTATATTAAGTGTTCAAAGAAATGGATATCAGAATTGTAAATGAAAAGAAGAAAAAAGCTTTTAAAAAGTCAAATTTCAAATTTAGAAATGGCTGCAGTGCCATTTAAAAAAGCAGATAGAAAGAAAAAAAAAAAAAAAAACTTACGAGGATTTTTCAAATCCAACCAACAAGGTCCTTTCATTTGTCGATCAAGGAGCAAAATTTCAAGACTGAAATCAAGTAAAATAATTTTAAGCTGAAGAGAGTGACAGTATCATCATTTTTATAAAGTCCCATAATTATTGGTAAATCCAATGTATAAAATATGTATGCAAATGTAATAACTATTATGGGACATGTTATTTATCACATAACATAATTTTTATTTTTCATACATAATCTTATTGTTGCTTTTCATCATTACAAAGAATTAATACATTCTTCATTATTATTACTTTTATTTCTTTACTAGTTTCACTCCATCTTTTTATGGCTGCTTTTTAAACTAAGTATCATTTTACAGTTATTAGTAGTTTTAACCAATTAGGAGGCACAGTAATATAATGGACAGTTGTTCAGATTGAGGAATCAGAATGCTGAGTTTGAATTTCATTTGAGCTCATATTTATTTATATGCTAATACTCTTGGGAAAGGGGTATGAATCCATCTCTTCAACAGCTATAGGTAAATATCAAGAAAGACTGGGTCCTATAGCCATGAGTGACAACCCGTCTAGGAGAAGGAAAACTTTGAATTTAAAATTCAAGGACCTAGTGTACAAACCAAGGACAACCCACACTACATTGTGATCTTCAGATGTCAGTTGAGAGCTTGGAGAGAAGATGAGCACCATCAACCTATCTGCAAAGCCCAGTGAAATAATTATGAGGAAGAACAATCTAAGTCTGTTTCTTCTGCCCTCAGCGCCTCCAAGCCGATAATTAGAGCTATTGAGGGCTTGAGAAAAACAAAAAGAAATTATTATTGTTGCTTCTTATATGAACTATTTTTATTGTTATATTGCTTTTCAGATTCAGTATTTTCACTTATCTTATTATTGTACCTGTGTTGCTAAAAAAAGTAATCTATAAGATTCAGATATTTTCTAATTACAAAATTCTTATCTATTTAGCTGAGCTCATAATTAAAGACATGAATAAATTATTTTAATTGTGAAGTTTAATGTAGAAAATCATATATATATATATATATATATATATATATATATATATTTGACCAACACAAAAGACAGACCAAAATTTGTGTTAAAAAAAACAAATGAAAACTACAGACAAAGTTCATTTTCCATCAAGACATTCATTTCTTTAGTTCACTGCTACCAGCAAGCAGAAAATTATTTTCTCTGATGATGGCCATGTTGGCCTAAACTAGTCAAGGAATCTAAATGAAATAATCAGCCTGATGATTGTGTCTAGCATGAAACAGCTTGTCACCTCTGAGCGTTGACTTCAATGATTTATATATATATATATATATAAAGTGTTGGCTTTTTCTTTTTATTATTATATTAATAGGTGGATGAAGTTATGTTTGTATTTTCTACTAGTATGTTTCAGATGGAGTCTGGTAAGTAGTAGTGTAACCAATGCAATATTGGTCACACAACTACATGCCTATCCATACAATACCCCCCCATCTGACTACAGCTCTATTAAAACCTATCTAAACATACAAACTTACCAGACTACATCCAAAACATACTTGTAGAAAATACAAACAACCTCATCCACCTGTAAAAAAAAGATTAAAAATAATGGAAGCATATATATATATATATAATCACACTAATAATCTTATAAATATAAGCAGCTATATTCGTCTGACAAAACCTTGTGTTTTAGCTTGTAAATGAACAAATCAATACCCAAGGGGAAAAAAAGAGTAAAAAAGAAACAACTAAGAACATATACTTCTGGCAAAAATAATCATCTAGAATCTAAGTTCAGAGTCCAAAGAAAAAAAACCTCCAACACAAGTAAAGTAAAATTAAGTCCACCCTGACGATCCGTGTAGGTGAAACTGTGGGAGGTAATGCAACAACTCAACTGATGATAGCAGGTAGGAACAAAGAAACCGGTGTCGCATGTTCAACCTTCTCACGAGCCGAAAGCTCTCTGATCCGAAACAGCAAAACGAGCCTGCTTTATACAGCCGCGGACCAATCACAATTTGCATGCGAATGACGAGACAACGAGATTTCGCGTGAACTAACCAAGACCGCCTGGCATAAAACATGGTTGCCGCCATTTTGGTTTCTTTTGCCGTTGGAAGGACCGGAGTTTGCACACTGCACAGATTCAAACGCTGCGTTTCGGTGTAAGCCATTTTCACAATTTTCCCCACATTCCCCTGATCTCATGATCACAAACAGGGCAAGGAGGTGGCACCGTCGCCTTCGGAGTCCCCTCCGCTGGGGGAAACATGCTTCATCCTCATCGTGTTCTCTTCTGTCGGTTAACACTGTGGTCCGCCGAGGCTGCTGTTATCAGAATCTCTGCCCTGCAGGTCTAACTCTTTGCATCGATAGCAGCGTAGTCGTGCTTGGTTCTGTCTGCTGCCCCGCCTCCTGCGCCACTTCGGCTCCGCAGTCCCTAGAGAAATGGTTGGGTCCACCGCGCTTGTAGCACTTTGGGCCCTCCCGCGTGTCTCAGGCGTTCTCACGGCTGCGCGACCTGTTCTGTGTCCTTCAAAATGTTTCGCCCTGGCAAGCAATTCATCAATTCCAGTGTGTCCAATCTTGAAGACACTGCAGGAGCTGCCGACTGGTGTTGTCGGGAAGTCCTGCCAGGAAGGCGCACCCCAGTATGTGGTCCGTTGCTTCGCCAAACGGTACTGCCAGCTCGCAAATCAGCCAGGTAGACATCCATGGTCTTACCCGCTCGAGCCGTCGTCCGACGAACTGTTTCCAAGCGATGAAGGGGTCATTCCAAAGGCCGTATACAGGGTGTCCTTGATCTCTTCTCGTCAGCATCCTCCCCGAAGTTGTTGATATACGGCGAGGCTTCTCCCATGAGTCTCAGTGGGATGACTAGTGCAGGTTCCTTTATTTTGGATACCCTGCAAACACGTTCGCCCTTTTCAAACAATTCCATCAAAGTCGGGCCTGTGGGTGAGCCGTCAATTCTGGGATCAATTTTAGATCGAACTTGTCCATCGCCAAATAGCTTGGGGAGGTAACGCAACAACTCAACTGATGATAGCAGGTAGGAACAAAGAAAACCGTGTCGCACGTCCAACCTTTCTCACACGAGCCGAAAGCTCTATGATCTGAAACAGCAAAACGAGCCTGCTTTATACAGCCGTGGACCAACCACGATTTGCATGCGAATGACGAGACAACGAGATTTCACGTGAACTAACCAAGACCACCTGGCATAAAATATGGGCGCTGCCATTTTGGTTTCTTTTGCCATTGGAAGGACCGGAGTTTGCACACTGCACAGATTTGAACGCGTTTCCGAGGTAAGCCAGTTTCACGATTTTCCCCACAGAAACCTAGGTAGGTTTGTCTGGCTCTTTAGAGTTATATATATATATATATATATATGTAGTTTATGCAAAACTAGGTAATCCGCATGGGTACACCAAAGGAGGATGATATCCGGAGAGCTCAATGTAAATTCAGAGCAGATATGTTTGAATAAAACAGACCACTTTTAAGGTTCCATGTAATAAGTTATTTCACCACAACCCCTTTAACAGGGCTCTGGATCATCAGACTTTACTTCCAAAGGTTCAAATGAAAATGAAAAGAAATTCACACATTTTTGACGGACCGCATCAAGCATATGTAAAATTGAGGAAGTGAGGTGGGAGAGAAGATATGAGCTAGTTAGATGTACCATTTCAATTCCTTATCCTTAACCCCACTCTGTGTAGGCTAGACGTCGCTTAAACTTAATATAGATATAGATGGGTAAGGGGTGAGGGAGAAGACCGACATTAAAGGAAGAAGCTACAACAACCCTAATAAATTACATTCCACGAGGGCAGGTTTCATTCAAATTCTTAGACGTTGTTAATTCGCATTACTTTAAAGGGCATATTTGGGAGGTTACGGTTTGATATAAATCTAAATGTCTAAACAATCTACGAAGAATTTAATTTGAAGTTTGTTGGAGTTTTGGGTATTTTCTATGAAACAGTCGATTGGAAAAACTCATGGAAAGTACGTTGAAAGAGTAATCCATTTTATATTTAGTAATCTTTTTTATTTTCCTAAACTTTTATCTTATTGATTGTGAAGTTGACATCTATTCGTTTGATTTTTGTTCATTAATTAAATAAACTCGTGATTGCTTTTTGGTACCGAATTATCAACGGTTATTCCAATTTAAATAATTTTATCATCAATAATGATTATTAAAAAGTAATTTAAATTAAATTATCAATTTAAAGTTTACCTCCGTATTATTTATTTAAATTCACTTTCAATTGGAGAATATTAGAGGAGAAAATTGGATAAGGGATCTCTACTAGAGTTAGGTCCTTCTTTTACAATGTTCTATATATCTGTACATATACCTTTTTCTAGTTGACATCTATTCGTTTGAGTTTTGTTCATAGATTAAACTCGTGACTTTTTTAATATACCTAGATAATTATCAAAGGTTCTTCCAATTTAAATAACTTTATCATCAATACTGATTGTTAAAGGGTAATATATTTCAATTTAAATTAAATTACCAATTTAAACTTTACCTCCGTGTTATTTAAACTCACTTCCAATTGGAGAATATTAGAGGAGAAATTTGGATAAAATATTACTAGGAGAAAATTAGGTCCGTCTTTTACAATCTTTTATATATCCATACTCATATACACTTCTACACATTTCCGAATACCTATCTATATCCACATACCTATATCTCACTATATACCTATGAGTTCTTATATACACCTGCACACACATCCACACGAAAACTATATGTATATTCCCATATCTACACATGTCCACCCATACACCCACTTATGCCTGCATTCGAAGACTATATCAATATTTAATTACATTATAAATACCCAAATCGTATAATTATACATGTCTCTACACATATATTACCCGCTCTTCCATATCTATGGCAAGACATAGAGGTACCCATCTAATTGTACGCCTCCACACTCACATAAAAAAAAAAAAAACTTGTATGCCTCTCTTTCATATAAAAAACATATACATGTACATATCAACAGGTGCATCAGTGTTCAAGTACAATACCATAGTTGTATACATACAGTCATTTGTTGCCGTTCATGTGTGCATAGTAATATTTCCAAAAGCAAAAGGAACAAAAGTCATTTAATATTATTCTTCCTATATAATTATTTCTCAATGTATTTACTTAGGTTTAGGTTGTTTTTGTGCCGGCATTTAAAAACTAGTTCATTGTGTCTATTTAGTAATAAGTCTGGATCTTTATGTTTGCTTATGAAGATTTTCTCCTTTATGCATAAGTCGCATCTGTCTCTGAAGTTTTTTTGAGTTCTGGCTCTTGATATTATTTTCCACTTTATTTGTGGGGTTAGGCCACCCTCCAACAAATCTCAATGTTTTGATAGTGCCGTTTGGTTCTTTTTACACTTATTTTTGAAGGACTGGCGATGGTTGTACAGTCGGTGTTTCCAATCTCCCACCGATATTCCTATGTATATCTTTTTCTCCTCAACCTTTTCTTTGGGGAAAATCGTTGCTTCATATATTGTGTTCTCTGCCATGCATATTCCTTCAACTGGGCACTGATCCTGTCCTGCAGTTGTATGTTGATTTTTCCATTCGGGTTGTATTATGATTTTGTATTAGATTATCATGAAGGTCTCTCAAGATTTTACTATTGTGTGAGCTAATAATTCTTTCCATATTATTCATGCAAGAATAGCTAATCTTTAGATTCATCTTGTTGAATATCTTTTTTAGAGATGCATTTTTGCTAAAGTGTTTTTCTATCAGTTTTATGAAGTATTTACTTATATTAATATTGGAGAGGTTACAAAAAGGTGGGTTGAACCATATAAATTTTCCTTTTCCTATTTTTGAGTTTAGTGGATTTTTTATTTACTGACTTATCTATGTAATTTAGTGTCTGTTTAAAATTACTTTTTAATAGGGCTTTATTGTATTCCGATTTATTCTGGTTAAAAATGGTTTTACTGGAGGAGAGTTTATTTATTCTTGCATTTACTGTATTTGGAATTTGTTTAATTATTGATTTCAGGTGATTGGAGTGGATACTTGTATATATGGGTGATTGGTTTTCCTTTTGGAAGGGTTTATAAGTGTTATTGTTCAGATTAAATGTAACGTCTAGGAAGTTTACTATTTTTAAGTTAGAAGAAATCTTTATTTTAAACCCTAGAAATTTGAAGGCCCTAATTATTTTCTTTTGTAGTTGGGATGTTAACAGACCATTGGTATCAGGTACAGAAACTAATCCGTCATCTCTGTATAGTCCTATATTTTGAGGGTCAAGGAATCTACTTAGGATATCTAAAATGTATATAGCTATTAGGTCAGCTATTTGAGCTGAATCAAATGATCCCATTGGGACATCGAAGTCGTGTCTGTCTTTTTTAATCCAAGTAGTGTTGTTCAGTTTTAGTATTGACTGTCTAGAGTCCATTATAATTTTTATTTCTTCATCAGTAATATCAGTATGAATTTTGGCAAAACTTAAGCTATTTTCTAATAACTCTTTAAAGATTGAGGGGTAGAAAACTTTTCCGAGATAGGCATACTAGACTTGGGGTGCACCATTTGCTTCATACCTAGCTCATGGAAATACATGCAAACATCAAAAACACACACATAAGTGGAATCAGTGGCGATGCTTCCATCATTGGCAAAATAATCAGTGATATCAGCATTGTTTTGTTTTTGTCAATTTCTTTTGATAAATTAAACATTTCTTGGGGAAGCAGGAAATAATATTTGCTAATTAAATACAAAATTCTCTAATTTAATCTAAGATCTTCTCCTTGAAAGTCATTAGGTAGCATCAGCATGCCATGCTTCAAATTGCTCTATAAAACTACAGAATGAACTGTCAGTGAGGAAATGTTATCAGCAATGCTGATTTCATGGCTAGCCATAAGAATTTATAAAAATCTGCTTACCCAGAAGTATTGGTCCCAAAAATATGACTGAAGGTCTCTCCTTGAAGGTCATTAGGTAGCATTTGCATGTCATACTGTTAAAAATAAATAAAATAAGTAACAATTAAATTAAAAAAAAAAAAAAAAAAAAAAAAAAATCAAGTTCAATTCAAATGGTTATTCACTGAATTTTGATTTGAAAGTTTTTCAATGTTCACTGGATGCAATTGATATTGACCATTGAATTAAGTGCATTAACAAAGATTACATAAGAAAATAACTGTTAGATAGAATAAATGACCCATTATAAATAGGATGTATACCAATTGATGTATACATACACACACAGGAGCCTGAAAAGTGCTCAGCACAAACCACTTCACAAAATCTTATTAAATGACAAAAAAGGTTTCAGAATCTCTCCTTGGTTGAGCTGAGAACATTTCAGAAGCCACACAATACTTTCGAGAAGTTTGTTCACAAGGACCATTGCTTTGTGAAACAGGCTCCTGAGAGGTTGCTTTCCTGACCACTACAATCTTAACTCTTCAAGTTTACAGTCAAGCGTTATTGACATACTACTGATGTAAATAAAACAAGAGAAATAAGATTAAAGAAATTCAAATAAAAAAAAATTAACAATAATTGACAATGCTTCATCTCAGAAATTCAAATATGACATCTAACATGAATAAAACCTAAGAAGAAAGAAAATACTAGTCAAAATTCATAAATGCTTGGCAAAATGTATTTATTAAATGTACTGGTTAAAGTGCAATGAATCGAATAAATCTAAATCATTCATTAAATAGCAATGATGCTTTATCTCAGAATGTATGATATATTAGCAAAAAAAAAAAAAAACAAACTATCTTTTATGTGCTATCCCTTCAGGACATAGGAGATCATGTCCCTCCACAACCTCTTATCCCATGTAGCTTTAAGCAACATTTGTCCATTTTGTCAACACCCTCACATATTCTGCCATCCATTCACACAAGCTTATCTGACAGGCCACACAGCTTTCTTCTGCCACTTGTGCCTTTGATATATCCTGTAAGTGCCAAATTCCCCAAGCCATCTTTTCTTATGATGTGAACCAGAAATTTCAGTTAACCCTTTTGAGTCTAAGTATCCTTTTTATCTCCATTTTCTTTAAGACTTCTTTGTTGGTTATTTGCTCCATCCATGGTATTCTCAATATCCCTTTTTTATAGAGCCACATTTCTTTTGATTCCAGTCTTCTCTTCATCTGTGAAGAAATTGTCCAGCATTGCTTGCCACAGAGGGTTGATAATTGCATAAGAATTCAAACCTTTTTGTAACAAAATTTTCCTGTTTTTTTTTTTGTTTTTTTTTTTTTTTAGTACTTTGCTTAGCGTGTGGAATGCATCTTTTGCTATTCCAATGTCCATTCAGATTTCGGTGTTGCATTTTCCATTCTCTGTTAAAACAATTCCCAAATGTTCAAACTTCTGTACTTGCTCAATTTTGATATTTCCAGTTTGTAGTTCACATCTTGAACTTTTTCTCTTGTTGACAATACATTATAGACTACTTACATCAAAACTGCCAACTGTAATGGAGGAAATAAAACGTTCTCCCGCCAGGCCTATTGCCAGAAAATAATCCCTCTCTCCCACTGAAAACGATGTGAACTAATTTTAGTGTGGAAATAGGCATTGCTTCCCATAAATTAGTGATATTTATTTATATATATATATATATATATATATATATATATAATTCCCAAGAGGTAGTCCAGGACAAAGTAAGAATATAATATAAAAGGCTCAAACACTAATATTCTATGGTTATAATTTATTACATTGAATCATAATCCTGATTCTGAATTTGTAGGTCTGATGAATTGGATCGTGATTATGATTCCAATGTAATAAATTATAACCATGGAATATTAGTGTTTTGTTTTATATATATATATATATATATATATATATAGTGTCTATTTAGTGTTGTGGGGTAGTTTTCACAGTGGAGGCTTGTATTTTAATAAGTCATCCTAAATTAGGTTCGACATACAAAATGTTACGAACTTGAAAAATAGAGTTAATGACGCAGCAAATTTAGTTGTGATGGTTGGTACTTCAATGTCCGATATTGTCTGACTTGCTCAACACCACTGAGCCGAACTGGCGACTGCTACTGCTACTTATTGTCTATGGGAGAGTCCATTACCATAGAATAGGTAGTATAACATTTAGGCAGCAATTTTTCATTGATGCATATTTCATTAAATAATATAGACAAGTTCTGTCTATTTATTTCAAGTAAGTTCCTTTCATATCATCTGATAAGCTTTATAACATTATCATTGAAAGACGAAAGGAAATCACTATATTGATACATGTTTAAATCCAATCTAAGCTTCCGGCTTACATAAGCCATTATCAAAGATGACAATTACGTTTCAATATATCAACCAATACACGGACAAAACAATAATGATTGTCTGTTTTTGTTGCATGAAAAATTTCAAAGCAACGACAAACTTGTGTATACAAGACGCGGAAGCGAAAATTGCATCACAGCTTGTGACGCCACACATGACCACACGAGAATGAAAACGAGAAGTATTAAGCATGGGAAGTCGTTCGTATAAACCAATGGCTTCTGTTATCAATTATAGGCATTTAAGAGTATTTGTGGATATTTCATAGTTTATTTTGTTCAGGTTAGGTTTCACCTGTTTTATGTATATAGCTTCAAGAATTTTTAGTTTTTGTTTATTGTTATCATGTTTAAGTATAGTTGTGTTTTCAACAAGGATTTTCCGGAATTGTGTACGTGGCCAGGCATGTTGCTTGAAACCTAACCTGTACAAAATAAACTATGAAATATCCACAAATATTCTTAAATGCCTATAATTGATAACAGAAGCCACTGGTTTATACGAACGGCTTCCCATACTTAATACTTCTCGTTTTCACTCTCACGTGGTCATGTGTGACATCACAAGCTTCCACGTCTCATATACACAAGTTTGTCATTGTCATAATTTCCATCAGCCTCCAGGCAGTTTTTAAATTCCAAGTTTTTTCTTTTTCGCTCTCTCTGCCACTCTATTTAATCCATAGTTGGAAAAAGATGAATCATGCATTTTTTCCAAGGGTATTAGGGGAAAGTGAATTAAACAGACTTGATCAGGATTTGAACTCTGAATGCTGATTTCTCGTTTTGTTCTGATAACTGTTACACAATATGTCCATGCCATAAGTGGTAAAATATAGTAAAAAAATTACAAATTAAAAAATAAAAATACCAAAGCTAAAATAATAAATAAAAGTATCGACTTACCGAATACCTAACTTCCAGATAATCTGATTCTGCAGGAATTCCTTCCAGTTCAAAAGCATATTTGCAGGTCACTTTCTGCCAAAAGAAATAAAAATCAAAAATGTTTTCCAGCTCCAGAAATTATCAAGGGAGATAAATCACTATTAACAAAGATTAATCACTTCTCCACTCTAAACACAGTCAATATATTGATTGGTTTGTTTAACAGCATATCAACTCCCAATAACTTAAAGAATACATTTTCAGTTGAGAAAAAGTTTTCCAAAACATCTCACACAAAATTAAGTTAAGTCAAACATGTGTCATCAATTTTTGAATCAAAACAGAAGATATGTTATCAGGATACTTTTTCTTTTATAAGTTATTCTATCCTGAAAACATTTAAGGTTGGTTCTACTTGGCCCTGGCATATCATTGTTAAATTGGAATTTTGGTCTATTTTAAGAAAAATTAAAATTTACTGAGAAAAGGTGATGCGAAAAAATAGACTTGATTTTCAGATTTGGCTTAAAAAAAAGCCCAGAAACATGTGCCCACTTTGCCCAACACATTTGGGTCAAAAAAAAAAAAAAAAAAAAAAAAACAAAAAAAAAAGTAAAAAAACAATAAAAAAAATAAAATCAAGCAGTGTTATTTATTATTATCATCATTAATACATTTACTTGTGTTTATGTATTCGTTCATCATCAGTTAATTTGTTTTTGTTTTTTTTTTTTTTTACTGGAGTTGGTTATTTTATTTGTTTAGTTTAAAATATTGGTTTTGTATGAAGTATGTTACATTATTTTCATTGTATATAGTGCCACTATTTGTTTTTTTTTCATGGTGCTATTTTATAAGGTATTTGATTTTAGTTTTCAATTTTTAAGTAACGTAAAAATTTGTTCTCATCTCTGCATTTTGAGATAAGTTCTGATCATTTATTAATTTGCGTGAAGGTGATTATAGCTATTTTCTTCTCCAGGCAAAGTTTACAGTTTTTGATTTATTGTTGTAAGCTGATGCTGATGATATTTTTAGTGTAATTTGGTTTTTGATTTTAATTTCCCACGTTTAGAAAATATTGCGCTATTCACATATTTACTATTTGTAAATAATGCTTTCTGTGCAAAATTTCTGTTTCCAGAGTCTTTTCAGTCACGATGCATATTTTTGTATCTGCTGATTTTTCAGTGGCTTGGTATATTTTATTGTTTTGCAAGCAATTGCTATTTAAGGGATATTCATAATAAAACCTTTTACTTAAAAGAAGCACAATTTACAATAAAAATAAATGAAAATAAACATCTAAAATATTCACATAATTTTGCTTATTTTCTTCAAATTTACAAACCCTGGATTTATAAGTTGTGATCTTGTACTTATCAGCAACTTTCTCACTAAATTCCTCATAAACATCAGCAAGTTTCACAGGTAAGCCATCCTCTATTTTGGTTTTTGGATTCAGCCTCTAAAATTAGAAAAAAAAAAAAAGATATAGAGATATATATATATAGATATATATATATATATATATATATATATATAAAATACCAAATTCTTCAATAAATTAAAATTGTATTTTATAAAACTGTAAAATCCTGGAAATACAAAATCTTCAGGAAGAGTATAAAAAAATTTTTTTTAAATTTTCATGTTCAATCAAACTACAATATTTCTCACCTTCAAAAGATTGTGTTTTTTTTTTTATTTAAAAATTAAATGAATAGCTAAATCAATCAGTATCTTATATCCCCATCGTAGAGGTTACCAGTATTATACTAACAGTATTAGAAAACTGGTCTTATAAACTATAAAAACCCCAAAACTGAAGATAAGCATAATTTATTCCCAAAATACAAAAAAACAGAATAGTGATGAGAAAATATAGATTATATATATCAAGGGAGATAATCTTGCAACAAACTTGTGGAGAAAGATTACAATTTGTGTGAGAATAGTTAAAAAGATATCAGTTATAAATAAAATGGTGTACTTACTGCTCCTCTGGGCAGAACACGTATTCGCCGTTCAATGTTCTTGACACTCACACAGCAACTTGCAAAACTCTTCACACTTTCAAACCAAACTTTACCAAAAAGATAAACAATGCCTAAAAACAAAAAGAGAAATATATAAATAAAAATGAGTGGGTATGTGGAATCATCTTCAGTATTTTACTATCCTACTATCCTCAGATATTACAAGACCTACAACTGATGCCTGAAACACAAACATATCTCGAACCATAAGAACCATGCTCGAATCTGACCAGAGTCCACTTGTCAGGGAAGTGACCTTTTGATGCTATTGGCCCGGACAGCATATCCCAACATGCACCACTGTTGGACAGTGAATGAAGACCATACCATAAAATTAGGTAGCTGTCAATGGTTATCATGGCATATCATTGTGACCGAGGGTTTGAGTCTACTGGCCTTGTTCAAACACACACACATGTGTGTATATATATATATATATATATATATATATATATATATATATATATAATAGCTGGATACTCGTCTACTGGGGTGGTTAGCCAATCCCTAATTCAGACACTTGCTCAAGCACATTTGTGTTTGTTCAACACCCACTGAGTCCACCTATGGTTTATACTGCAACAATGATGAGCAGACCTTAGTTACAGTTTTGTGTTATCTAGCATGATCAACAATGTGAACAAGACCAGGACACTCAAATCCTCAGCCATGATGACTTGTGACTGTGCTAGCACAGCTATTGACGGTTCCCCACCATCTACCCAATTTCACTCATAAGGCTTGAGTCAATCTGGGGTATGGTTTTCAGGCACTTTCCAAAGGTGCTACACACTGAGATCATCCCCCTCCAGACCGCACATATGCCAAGAAAAAAAAAAAAAAAAAAAATCTGCCTCACACTAAGAACTAGCACATAAATATAACAAAAATGAGAAAATCTGCAGTCAGCTGTTGAAACCTCCTGACAACAAGTGGACAGAACAATTACAAAGCAGTTCGTCTACAAAACTACAAGGTCATGGTGCTGAACATCAATCAGCTAAGTGACAAATTTTATTTTTATTAATCATATATGCTTTTTTTTTTTTCTAATACATCCATACCTATGATGAATTAGTCACAGTAAGGTGAACAACCATAACTAATAAAATAAAACTAACAGTATACTGCAGTAAAATCACTTTGATCGCTTTCAAGAAATAATATTAGTGACTACAAATGTTTTTAATGGGAGTTCACAACAATACAATTTCTCACTTAGCCGGCTATCTTTCCATTCAGCTGAACTGTTATCTTCCTAATTTCACTGGCCTCTGGGCTCAGCAACTCCTGATCCCTCACTACCAGTCCTTCTGTCACTGGCCTGCTCTAACGCCTCTGGTCACCTACCTACTTCTCTAATGGCTGAACCCACTTTCCTCTCAACTCCCTGCCTCTCTCTGCTTATAGAGACAATCCTGGTGTACCACCCCCAATTCCGGAAGTATTGAGACCACTCCAAAACCACATGGATATTCAAATCTTCAAAAGACTACTTTTATGTCTATCTAAAATCATTGATAAAATTACTCAAAGATGGATTGGATAAAAAATTCCTACGAAACTCAGATAACTAAGTGGACTTAAAAGGAAGGAATTTATCTCCTTATCTTCTAAAGATGTGAAAACTCATATTGTTAGAATTATAAAAATACATAAATCAAGTACAAAGCAATATTATTTACCATTTTATAAAGAAATAAATTTGAAAAATTTTTTTATTCAAAATTTTTTTTAAAAATTACAAAATTATCAAAAGATTGAAACCAACTACAAAGCAATATTTATTTACCATTTTATAAATAACTATGAAAGCAAGATTTTTATTCAATCCAATAGTCTTTAACATCTTTGTTGTCAATTCTCAAGAATAAAGAAAATGTATAAATGTCAAGAGAATAACCATCCTTTTGACCCCCTTTTTTTTTTCTTTTTTAAGATATGGAAGTTAAATATTGCCTTGTATTTTTTCTTTTTCAATTCTATTTTCCACTGCATACTTAATAGTAAACTAATCGTTTTTTTTTTTGGGGATCACCTTTAAACAAATATTGGCTTTAAGATTAATGCTTATCCTGATACGGGGGTGTGACACTATGAATGGGACACCCAGACAGAAGGGGACATTGTGTGATTCCATCTTGGTCTCAAGAGTTGTGTGTTTTATGCCCAGCAATTAAGTCTGTGAGATACAAACTTCAAAGCAGTCACCCAAAGGAATAAAAGAACAAGGAATAAAATGCAACAACGAGCCCGACACGGAGGCCGTGCAACACTGCGGCTGTGCAACAAGCCCAACAACAGGCTTGATATGGTGGGCATGCAGCAAGTATTGCAGTGGTAAATAGATAGCTTGTCAGGGTTTCTCAACCATATTTTTTTTTTTTTTACAACAGATTTGCCTCGTAAACAAGTAAAGCTTGTATTAACTGAATGAAAGTCTTACCTTTTTGATGGAAAAAATCCTCATAAGCATCCAGCCAATAGAATCTAAGAACTTGATCACCATTTTCATTGGTGATCAGGGGCAACTGGGATGCATCAACTTGCATATCAAGTACAGGTGGTTCATCAGAAGAATTATCCTTGGTTTTACTGACTGTATCCCAACCACTTTCCAGACATTCTACAGACCTACAATAACAAGTAAATAAATCAATATTTGATCTTTAAGAAGTGTGATTATTTTTTCAGTTTATATCTGTTGCTCTAGATTTAAATTTTGATTGAACTGATATCTACAGTGATGAGTATAGGCAGATTACTCCAAAACGAGTGCCTCCTACTTAACAACAATAACAATAATATTACTTATTATAAAACGCAGATTGTGTGTGTGTGTCCATGTGTGTGTCTGTACATTTATATATTGGATCGGATTTCCTACATTTTTCAACCGATTTCAACAAAACTTCACAGGATTACATAAAAATAACCTTGCTGTGGTTCTAACAGTGCCAAAAATTGGAAAAACACAATTGTTTTTGCATGAAATCAATTTGAAAACACGATTAAGAGACATCACAAGAATGAAAGGGGACAACTCAAATAGAGTTATACTTATAAAATAAAACCCAGGTTGTGTGGGTGTATGGGTGTGTTCGTTTAATATATGAGATCGGATTTCCTACATTTTTCAACCGATTTCAACAAAACTTCACTTTTTTGGCAGGTAGTGTTTCTTATTGTCTTGCACACTTTTTTTTTTTTATTTTACATTCAGAATGCTTTAAAAATTCCATTTACAAGACAATTGTTCATAATAAAATGCTATTCAATCGGTAGACTCATAACGATTGAAAACAATGTTTTTGTTTGAGTTTGACCAATTCGTAAAAAAAAAAAACAAAAAAAAAAAACGAACAACTAATTAAGACATGCGTATCCGTCAACCTTAAACAATAATCTTTGTCAATTTTATTTTTCTGTCTTTATGATGGTCAATACTTGATCTATCTCTTACTGTTTTACTGTTACATCCCCGGGCAATGCCAGGCTCTACTGCTAGTTAGCAATAACAGCCGGCTACTCATTTCTGAGCATGCCAATCTTCTGGGGTGGTTAGCCAAGTCCTACTGCAGACGCCCCCTCAGGCATGTTTGCATTTGTTCAACCACCACATAGCCCACCTGTGGAATATACTGCAATAACTATGCTGAGAAAATCTTAGTTGCAGTTTCTGGGTGAGAATGCATCATCTGGCATGATCAACAGCTTGTACAAAGGCATACACTAAAAGCCTCAGTTATGATTTTCAACTTTATGTTAGCACAACCACTAGCAGCATACAAACAATTCTGTTGACCTAATTTCATTCACAAGGCTCAGTTTAACCAACAGTTTAGTTTTTAGACATTTTCCATTGGGACCACGCCCCAGGCTGATATTATCAAAAAGTCACCTACCTAACAAATAAGCACACATTCTAACCACATGCCACCTATTTCTAATGAAACCTTCAAGATACATTGGGTACAATAACACCATTGGAAATAGCAAGTTTACAGCTACAACATTGTCAATGCATTTTTGTCAATGTTAAAGAGCCAGCATGCCACATTTGTAAAAATTAGCACCAGCAAGAGAGAAATTGTCAACAATCATCCGAAGAAACTGAAGGCACAAGTTGAGAAAAAGTAGTGCGGAGGTGTACAGACTACCTTCCAAAACATCCATCCCTTGAGGGGTACTTCAATCTAGTGTAATAGTTTACAATCTTGTTTCACAAGATCAATCACGACTGGATATTGAGTTTGGTCTTTGGTAAGTACTCCCTACTTTTAGCCTTGTATCAGTTTGATCTTCTCTCTGGGCCACATGCTTCTGGCTCTGGGCCACATGCTTCTGGCTCTGGGCCACATGCTTCTGGCTCTGGGCCACATGTTGGCTCTGGAGCTTCTGGCTCTGGGCCACATGCTTCTGGCTCTGGGCCACATGCTTCTGGCTCTGGGCCACATGCTTCTGGCTCTGGGCCACATGCTTCTGGCTCTGGGCCACATGCTTCTGGCTCTGGGCCACATGCTTCTGGCTCTGGGCCACATGCACTGGCTCTGGGCCCATGCTTCTGGCTCTGGGCCACATGCTTCTGGCTCTATGATGCTTCTGGCTCTGGGCCATGCTTGGCTGGCTCTGGGCCACATGCTTCTGCTCTGGGCTTGCTTCTGCCTCTGGGCCACATGCTTCTGCCTCTGGGCCACATGCTTCTGGCTCTGGGCCACATGCTTCTGGCTCTGGCCACATGCTTCTGGCTCTGGGCCACATGCTTCTGGCTCTGGGCCACATGCTTCTGGCTCTGGGCCACATGCTTTCTGGGCCACATGCTTCTGGCTCACCATCTGTTCCTTGGATAAAAACCACCATCTGTTCCTTGGATAAAGAGCAAAAGGAGAACGACATGGTGGTTTCAAGACCTTAAACTTGGTACAACATTTTTGTTGCATGAAAATGCCTACTGATGATTCATTACCAAATATGGAAGTGGATGGAAGGGACTATGTTTAGGGGCAGTAAAAATGACTATATTTAATAACAGAGATCATGGGAGCCATCTGCAAATAAGTTGCTCTGATTGAGGACTGGAAATCATTTGAACGAGCCAAACAATCATAACTTACATGGTTAATACCCAAATTAAAAACGCAACTTGAAGGATGCATGAAAGTCATTTTTCTTGGGGCTTTAAGCAGTTGTTGGCTGCATGCCAAGGTGACCCATGTTGTTTCTGTCTCAGGCATCAAGAAGACCATATCAACTTTCACTACTTTCCTTGCCTATTCTCATCATTAAACAAAGTAATCCGGTATACGAAAAAAAACAAAGTAAAATACCAGGTAATACCTGTCGATATTGATTTTCTTATTTAATATCATGTTTGCTAACAACTGATCTCAAGAGGGGATTAACCAGAGTCAAATGAACAGATCAAATTTGGTATATGTGAGTATTACTACAAAAAGGAATGCAATGGGACCACTTCACAGCTAAAGAAGGGTATCAGTCTATGTAACACTGGTAAGATGACTATCATAGCCAGTGTGTGATGCACTTGACAGAAGTGAGGGTGGTGGAGACACAAACATTTATCAACCAAATATCTGAGTCAGAAAGTTTAAGAACTTTAACCCTTCAAAGGCCAGAAGCACCCAAATGCACCTGAAAGTTTCAGGCACTGAAAGTTTCAGGAGCATCTGAATGCGCTTGCAAATGGGCAGTATTGTATTTCAATACACATCGTTAACACCTGCCAAATGATCAACAGGAAATTTACATTTGTTAGGAAATCTAAAACTTTGTAAAAGTCATACATTTCCAAAATCATATCTTGTAACACATAGTACCAAAAGAAGGTTAGAATAAAAGAAATATCAGAGTGAATAAAAGTTGTCGAAACTAACATTTTTGACTCCGGATTTTCTTCTTCAACATCTTCATCAAAGTTAATATCAGTAAGGTCCATGTCAGTTGTATCTATGAAAGAAAAAAAAAAAAAAAAAAATCAATGAAATAATTATATACAAGGCACATAGAGGTGGCAATGAAGTAAATAACTGAAAGATTTCTACAGGTGAGAAAAACTATTAGAAAAGAACCTATGGTTGGTTTAGTTTGGTTTACGGCATATCAACCTCAATGGTTTATTTAATGCCAACAACATTTTTATTGCTGGTAATAATTTTTTTTTTCTTCAAAAATGTGTAGCAGGTAATATTTTTTTTTTTTTTTTCTTCTTCAAAAATGTGTAGCAGGTAATATTTTTTTTTTTTTTCAAAAATGTGTAGCAGGTAATATTTTTTTTTTTTCCTTCAAAAATGTGTAGCAGGTAATATTTTTTTTTTTCTTCAAAAATGTGTAGCAGGTAATTTTTTTTTTTTTTTCTTCAAAAATGTGTAGCAGGTAATATTTTTTTTTTTTTCTTCAAAAATGTGTAGCAGGTAATATTTTTTTTTCTTCAAAAATGTGTAGCAGGTAATTTTTTTTTTTTTTCTTCAAAAATGTGTAGGTAATTTTTTTTTTTTCTTCAAAAAATGTGTAGCAGATATTTTTTTTTTTCTTCAAAAAAATGTATAGCAGGTAATTTTTTTTTTTCTTCAAAAAAATGTATAGCAGGTAATATTTTTTTTTTCTTCAAAAATGTATAGCAGGTAATAATGTATTCTGGGTAATTTTTTTTTTTTTTTTTGAGTATTTCTGGTATTAAAACCTATATTTAGTGGTTTAACCCCAGTTTGGGGGAATAACTATTTGCCCATAGTTATGACCCCAACAGGTGCTACCACCCCAGATCAGAGTGGACTTGGGAACGCCAGCAATGAAGAGGTGTTTCCACACTCCACAAAACCTCCTGATCAGAGGCCTTGCTGTTGGACATACTTTGTCTTACCCTGGACACGGATGTAGTTTATAGTCATACCCAGGATGGACCTAAGGTTGCATCTAGTTATTTCAACAGTAAAATAGTGAGAAATAATTGCCAATCTAGTAGTATGCTTAAATTCATGCAGTCGAGGTACCAAAGGGGAAAGGTCATGAAAGTATTTATAGAAAAGACACAGGGAAGCCATGTTATGGTGGTGGGAAAGTGAGATCATTGGATTTTGTCAAGATTTTTGTTTACAATGGGTGTCTGTTTTCTTTTTAACCCATTCTCAAAAAACTTCTTAAAACATTAAATATTTGATGTATATATGACTTAGTAATATTTTTTAGTTTTCTGTCCATTTTGTAGTATTTAAGAAATTTGACAAATGGAAAACATTTCATTGAAACTAGATTTGATTACATATTTCACCTTTCTAGGCTTCAGCAGATTCAAAAACAAAAAGAAAGAAATGTGTGCATATGTATGTGTGTATGCTTAAATAATGAATCATAGAACTTTTTCCTGAAGCTGGCATTTCTCATGATTAAGAAAGAAAATGAGTGACTTCTAAAAAAACTGCAAATATTTATTCTGTATATCTTCTTTATAATTCTTAGTTCATGTCAAAAGTTGTTAATATATTTTCTCCCAGGTTTGTATTGAATTAAAGGTAAATCCTCATCTCATTTTCAGAATGGCTTGAAAGGAAGAAATTTATATTTTGTAGTATATATTTGTAATTTGCAAATTCCACAATAGATCATAAAACTCCCACAGTAAACAAAAAAAAAAAAAAAAAACAGAAAATAGCAAACAAATCCAATTTTCAAAAGCCAACATTAAAGGTGTTTTAAGTACTTTTTCTGCAAAGTTCGTAAAAGCAAGTCTAAGAAAAAGAAAAGAAAGGTAGCTACCTGCATCTTTCTCTTCAATTTCTGTCATTTCTATCTCGGATATATTTTCTTTTTCACCATTTTTTTCTTTGACTTCTTCCCGCTCAATTTTTCCAATTGGAACAGCAACATATTCAAGATCTTCCTCGGGCATTTCTCGTCTTGGCTTTTTGGCTGCTGGTAGAACCGGCTCGTCTTCATTATTGTTGCTTGCGGTAATGATATTTCGTGGCTTCAAAGAAGGTTTTGGTTTCGTTGGAGTTACAGTGCTAACACTGAATGGATTTCGGTTAACCCTTGTAAGAAGAGCAAGAAAAAGTTGAGTGAATTTGTTAATCAAAATTGACTTGGATCTCAAAAGAGAAGAGGTAAGCAAAAACCAAGAGACAGAAATCAAATGAGACGACATAATATAAAAATTGGGTAGTATTTAATTTTTGTTATTTCTTTGACACCTTTTAAAAACCCAAACATATGAAATTGGAGATTTTTTTTTTTTAATCATTTCAACACAAGCCACTAAGACACATGGAGTTACTGAGTGTGAAAGAATAAGAAAAAGAACACATTAAGGAGTGAGAACAATAAAAGAGTAATCAAGAAGACAGTAGATAACAATTACATGTAGCCAGAAGAAAGTTCCATGATCAAGTGCAAGAGAAGAAATTGTTAGCTGAGAACTTATGGTTGAATCTCATCAATTCAACTGTAAATTGAGGAGACCTTGTTGCCAAACGAGTATTGTGCTTAAACATCAAGTCAATTTATACATTTTCTTTATTCTTGAGAAGTGACAACAAAGATATTAAACACTATTTATTTATTTATTAGATTGCTTATTTACAAGAATAGAAAAATGTGGTGAGAGCAAAGGAAAAAAAAATGATATTTTTCAAAATTTATAATCAGTTACTCATCATTAAATGAGTATTTAAATTTTCTTGTTCAGACATTTTAATAATTTATGAATAAAAAAAAAAATTTCAGCAAACTTGTACCTTCATGTCAAATGCTGTGTCAAAAGGACAGTTTTTCCATTAACATCGCTATTATTTTAACTAACTTTACTCTAACACAATGTTTATTGTTTTAAAAAGCAATATCATAAAACCTAAATATATGAAAGTGAATTTCATACATTTATTTTGTTCTTGACAATTGACAACAAAAATAATAAACACTTTATTTTATTAGGCCATTGGAATGGTTGGCACAACATTAGATAATTGCCAATCAATTCAAACTTAAAAATGGTAAAAAAAAAATTCTTATTTCACATTTTAATAATTTAGTAAATGTTTATTAACTGATGAATAAAAGTTATATTTCTTTATGAACTGGTAAATGATAAATCTTGCATTAGATTTTAGAATGTTGTAAATATAAAATTATTCTTGTAAATAAACAATCTAATAAATACAGTTTAATTATTTTGTTGTAAATTCTCAACAAATAAAGTATAAATTCACTTTCATCATATGTTTAGGTTTTATTACAATTCTAAGCATCGCTTTTTAAAACAATAAATATTGCTGATGAGTGAAGGTAGTTAAAATAATAGCAGTGTCAATGGAAAAAAAAAAAAAAAAAAAAAATCGCCCATTTGACACTGTTTTTTTGCAAGCATGAAGATCTAAGTTTGCCAAAATTTCTTTTCATATTTATTTCTTTATAAAATGAAAATTGAAATGATAATAGTCTGGGTAGACTGATAACTAAGAATATTATAGACAGTATTTTCAATCCAAGATATAGTGGAAAGAAAAAAAAAAAAATGAAAAAGAAAAACAATTTTTGTTCCTAGTAGATTAAAATACCCTATCCTAGCAGGTGATCATGGTCTTCCATAACTTCCTTTTTGTTATTTGCGAACTACCATAACTACTCGGGAAAGATAATGAAATCCTTTCTTGTTGTCTTCTCCACAATTTTTAATTTAGAGTTGTTTTATTCAAGGCAAGCTGCCATTCAACACTAAAGAACCTAGTCTATCCTAGTTATAGCGCTGTGAAGGAAGAAACAGATTCATATCACCCCCCCCCCCACACACACACACACACACACCCCCCAGGGCACAACCAACTCAGTTGGAATCTGAACTAGTGTGTTGAAATATTCTCAATCTAAGAAGGGTAAAAGAGGGGGGGGTCTAATTTTTGGTCATTTTGAGAAATTAAATGGGTTAGGCTGAGAACTTTCCAGCACTCATATCTTATTGCTGTGAACTGAATAAAAGGCATCCCTTACTTTTGTATAATTTAAAAAGAAAGAAAGAAAAAGAGAGTGAGAGAGTATAAATAAAAATATAGAAATATATTTTATCATAAATCACACTGGGAGAAAAAAAAAAAAAAGTTTGATTCCCAAAATTAAACAGTCAACCTTGATCATAACTTAAATGGTGAGCAGTGGCTTCTTGAGGGAGTGGTAAGAGTGGATCTTGAGGCAAGAGTGGCTGGGCAAATCATACTTATTATAAAACCCAGGTTGTGTGTGTGTGTGTGTCTGTACATTTATATATTGGATCGAATTTCCTACATTTTTCAACAGATTTCAACAAAACTTCACAAAACTACGTACAATTACCTTGCGGTGGTTCTGACAGCGCCAAAAATTGGAAAAAACAATTGTTTTTGCATAAAATCAATTTGAAAACACAATTAAGAGGCATCACGAGAATGAAAGGGGGACAACTCATATCGAGTTATGATAAAACCCAAGTTGTGTGTGTGTGTGTGTTTAATATATGGGATCGGATTTCCTACATTTTTCAACCAATTTCAACAAAACTTCACTTTTTTTTTTTTGGCAGGTAGTGTTTCTTATTGTCTTGCACACTTTTTTCTTTATTTTTTACATTCAGAATGTTTTAAAAATTCCATTTACAAGACAATTGTTTATAATAAAATTCTATTCAATCAGTAGACTCATAACGATTGAAAACAATGTTTTTGTTTGAGTTTGGGTTTGACCAATTCATAAAAAAAAAAAAAAAAATACTAATTAAGACATGCGTTTCCGTCAACCTTAAACAATAATCTTTGTCAATTTTATTTTTCAGTCTTTATGATGGTTGATACTTGATCTATCTCTTACTGTTACATCCCCGGGCAACGCCGGGCTCTACTGCTAGTTGTTAATATAAACAAAAATAGAACCACACTGGGGAAAAAAAAAAAAAATTGTTTTATTCCTGAAATTAAATAGTGTTGAGCCTGATAAAAAAATGAAATGGTAGTGGGGTTCTTGGAGATATCCGATACTGTAAGTAATTTTTGTGCAATTGAATACCCCTTTGGTGCTTTGTGGTTTACAAGCTGCTCTAGTTTTTATTCTTACCAAGTTCCCCCATAATTGTGGTCATGTGCAAAAAGGCTATGCACAGTTAAAAATCATGCTGAACAGACAGATACAGTTTTTTTCTTCTTCTTTTATTAGCATGAAGCAAATCTCAAACTTTTTGGAGGTAACTATTTTATATTTTTCTCCCAGCTATGATAAATAGCAGGACAGACTAGGTCCTATAGCCTTGGTTGGCAACCAGTCTAGGAGAATGGAAACTGAATTCAAATCATCTGTTGCCTTATCAACTATGGCTAACTTCAAAAACAAATCCACTTCACATGCCGTTTCAAAGAAAGAACCCCCCCTCACTTTGAAACATAACAGAAAATAATGAACACCTTGGACTTAGTACAATAGCTTGTAGCTGGAATAAACACAAGCCAAGGACATCGCATAGCAACATGAAGCTCTCTGATTTTGGACCATTCACCCATGGGTCTATCACCTAAGGCACTTTAGACAACAATGATTTTAGATATGAAATAAGACTCAAACTTGAGAATTTGCCAAGTATGACCATCATGATCAGAGAAATTTCAACTGAAAGAAACATTGTAAATCATTGTGATTTCTCATTTTCTGCATGACTTACTCTTTCCCATGCAAGCCTTACTCTTTCCCATGCAAGCCTATCTAAATTTCTTCAACATCCAGAGAGCAAACCTGCAACTATTCTGAGTAAGCCTTAGTTACAGATCAAGTATGTGAGACACACATAAGGTTTTGAATTTAGAGTTGTCCTCCTCCAAAACTGCTTGCCAAGTACAGCTGCTTCACTATTTAACCCATAGCTGGGAAGAAGAGACGAATTCATACCTCCCCCAATTGTATTTATGAAAAAGCGAATGTAGCGATCTTAACCAGAATTCAACCTTTTCTTCTATGTACTGTGTCCCTTCAGGATATTGGCAATCATGGCTCCCCATAATTTTCTGTCCTTTGTAGATCTTAAATTTTCTTTTTGCTATCTCTCCTAAACCCTGTTCTGCCATCCATTCACACAAGCTCACTAGGTAGGTTATGCATCGTTTCCTTTGTCCCTCTTGCTTTCAATGTCCTGTAAGTATCAAATTTTCCAAACCTCCTTTCCTCATTATGCGCCCTAGAAATTTCAACTCTCTTTCTGATGCTAAGTATAAGTGTCCTTTTTGTTTCCCTTTTCTCTAAAACTTTGTTGTTGTTGACATGTTCAGAACATCATATTCCCAGTATCCTTCTGTAGAATCACATTTCTGTTGCTTCAAGTCTCTTCTTAAAGAAGACTGTCCAACATTTACTGTTATATAGGAGGACCAATGTTATGTAACATTTCAGGACCCTTTCTTTCTAATTAAATTTTCCTGTTTCTTGATACTTTGCTTAGCCTTTGGAAGGCACGTTTCACTATCCCAATATACCTTTGGATTTCAATGTTGCATTTTCTGTCCTCTATCAAAACACTTCCCAGATATTTAAATTGATGTACTTGTTTGATTTTGGTATCTCCAATTTGTAATTTACATGTTGGGTTGTTCTTTTTGCTGATAACTATGCATTGTTTTTGCAATTGATGCTTAGTCCTTTCTTCTGACCTTCCTTCACTACCTTCTGTAAGAGTTCTTGTAGTTTCCTTTCTGTGTCTGCTATTAACACTGTGTCATCTGCATATCTTACATTACGATTGTGGAACAGTTAAGGAATCCTGGCAGGACATCTAATTCTCTTGGAATCACCTCACTGTATAGGTTGAATAAATCTGGTCATAAGCCACAGCCTTGTCTTATACTCCTTTTTATTTACTGAATGGATATGTGGCTGAGTGGTTAGAACATTCGCTTTCTGACCATGAGATCCAAGTTTGAATTTCACCATGGTCGATTTCTCAGAAAGGTGACCCCAACATGTGGCACCTTTGAAAAGTATCTGAAAACCATACCATTGGTTGACCCAAGCATTGTAAGTGAAATTAGGTAGATGAAACCCTTTGGAGCCATTGATAGCTGTGCTAGTACGAAATCATAAGTCATTATGACAGAGGGTTTGAGCACGCTAGCCTTGTTCAAACAGTTGATCATGATAAATAACGCACTCTCTCCCAGAAACTGTAACTAAGTTCCGCTCAGCTTGGTTGCAGTATAAACCACAGGTAGGCTCTGTGTGTGTTGAATAAACACTAAATGTGCCTGAACAGATGCCTGCAATAGGGATTAGTTAGCAGCCCTAGTAGACAGGCATCCTTGGATACAATTGGCCAGCCATCCATATTTACTGAATTCATTTTCTATCTGTATGCAGATGGTTTCCTGCCAGTATAGGTTCTGGATCATTCTAATATCCTTACCAACTTGCCAATTCCTCATTGCATGTTTCTAATCGATACATCACCAGCACATAAATTTATATATGCAAAATATTTGTATACAGGGTGGAAAAAAAAAAAAAAGTTTATATCTCACTTTTTCCCAGATGAAACAGGTGTGGATTTCTTGAACGACCCCAAATGCAAATTGGTAGGACCTTGATGAATTTCACCCATGATGTCAGATAAGAGATCATCTTCTTGAATGCTGACGTCTTTCTAAAAAGATTAAAAACAGAAAATGAAGATTAGTTTATTAACCTTATGTTTGTAATGTGAGGGATTATCACTTTATTAGTATCAAAGGGTTTCACAAGCACCGTATTTAGAATATTATAGTTATATCATTTAGTTCTTAATTTTCTTATTATATATTGTCTTGAATGTTCTTTCTGGTTTTTGGAGGCAAAAAGAGGTTTTATTTTGAAAAATTGTATTAAAAATATGAAAATGAATTTGTAAGTTTAAAAATTCAAATATACAAAATTAGGCTCCATTTTATTTTCACTAATGTTTCAAAACAATTTATGATCAGCCTGACTCTTTTTCAATTATTTTTTTTCCACATTGCAAGCAATGAACAAGATGATCTTTACATACATTTCTATTGCAATTACTTTACATTCATTTGATTATAATTGATATAAATATTAAGACTAGAACCAGATACTCCTTGTAAGTTATTTGACAGAGGTATTCAGACAGTGACTTTACTAATTCTGAAAATGTGACTTGCTAGATATTAAAGAAAAACACTGGGGTGGGTAAACACCCTCCATTAAAAATGGTAGGTCAAATAAGTTAATTTTTTTAATGCATATTTAAAAATAAAATAAAATAAATAAAATCCCAAACAAAACTGCTATCTTTTAGTCATCTTAGAGAACCATATTTGACTTTCATCAGCATGTCTGATGCTAACCTCCAAGAGAACAACTCATTGTACCTTCCATTGCCATGAAGTGGAATGGTTATATTGAAGCTAGGTCTGCTTCTAGGAAAATAGTTCACTGTGTAGCGCCAGACAATTTCTCATCACAATCCATCTTGCACGTTTATAAATCTACCATTCCTCCATGCACTGAATATTGCTGTCACATCTGATCTGCTATATATCTCAATATCCTTTGAGAAAATCCAAAGAAGGGTCCGTATTGTTATGAATCATGCCCTGGCATCTCAGCTTTGGTCCTATGACAGATTTATATTTTTTTATGTACAAGAGAAAATCATGGAGAATTGTAGATTAAAAAAAGTAAAATCGACCTTGCTAACCGAAACGCTCCTCTGTGGCTCAATCAGTAAAAGCAAGGCAGGCTATATGATACTTCCATATAGGATACATGTTCAATTCCTGTCGGAGGACGCATATTTTCTATGAAAATTTCTTGGACATTCAGGCCAGTAAATGTCGTTAATACTGTTTATTATAAACAGAGCATTTACTTAAATATTTGTATCTATAAAAAGAACGTATGAACATAAAAAAATGTCTTAAAATAATGATCAGACTTTGTCCATTTCATTATATATATATATATATATATATACACAAACACTAACTATTGTCCTCATCTTTGTCGCCATATTTATTACGCCGTCTTCAGGTGGTTGGAATGTCAAACTGAACCCTTTATTTTTGTTCACTGGAGTAGACTGTTCTAGTTCCACATGCCATGTTTTAATGGATGTCAGTTATCAGTTATCTCCTGTTAATTCCCCTCTCCTAATTCTCCACTGCCTTAACCGGGTATTATTTATATATATATATATATATATATATATATATACACACACACATACATACATACATACATACACACACACAAGCTTGATGCAAAAGCTTCCAGCATTTTCTTTTGGTATAATATTAGGGAAATCATGAGTGTCTGAAGTTTACAAATCTCATTATTTGAACATGCATACATATAAAATTATTTCTAATTACTTTAAACATTATATTTAGCAGAGATGTGCATTTAAGGAGACATTGCACTTTTTTTAAACATTGTAAATTTACATCTATCAGCCTGTGCATTCGAGTCAAAAAAAAAAAAAAAAAAAAAAAAATGTCCCTCTTGGAGGTGAAACCACTGTTAAAGCCCAGCATGATTTAGATGACTCAAGTCAAAACTGGTCTCATTTTTTGTGATAAAAACTCAGTATTGAAATGAAAAGTGGCACAAGTCCATAAAAAGCTCACAAAAATACTAGAATGCATTTATCTGAATAAAAATATCCATTTAAAAATAAAATAAAATAAAAAATAAAATAAAATAAAAATAAAATAAAATAAAATAAAAAAATAAAATAAAATAAAAAATAAAATAAAATAAATAAATAAAATAAAATAAAAAATAAAATAAAATAAAAAATAAAATAAAATAAAAAATAAAATAAAATAAAAAAATAAAATAAAATAAAATAAATAAATAAAATAAATAAATAAAATAAATAAATAAAATAAATAAATAAAATAAATAAATAAAATAAATAAATAAAATAAATAAATAAAATAAATAAATAAAATAAATAAATAAAATAAATAAATAAAATAAATAAATAAAATAAATAAATAAAATAAATAAATAAAATAAATAAATAAAATAAATAAATAAAATAAATAAATAAAATAAATAAATAAATAAAATAAATAAATAAATAAAATAAATAAATAAATAAAATAAATAAATAAAATAAATAAATAAAAAAATAGAAAAAAATGAAGTTTTAAATTGAAGAAAAACTTACCTCCTTTTTTTTCTGACCAGACAAATCCAAAAACATGTTACGAATGTTCTTTTTGGGTTTTCTATCAGGATGGTGGATGTTTTGATTCTTTTTACCAGCAGATTTTTTGCCTGGATTTTGTAAATTGAAGTTGTTTACATGAAAAAAATACAAACATAAAATTTATTTTAGAAAAATTCAATCATTATAGAGAAAAGACATTTCTTGTGATGAATTTTGGAGAGATGACAATAACCAGCTTATAGTATTAAAAATAAAAATTAAAATTTATAGTCATTGCCATAAGAAACTTCATTAATACACAATTCATTGACTTAGTTATAATTTATTTGACCTAAAAATCCTCTTATGAAGATCTGCCTCAGTTTGTGTGGGGGGCGGGGCAACATTTGACATATACATGTGCACACACACCCACAAAGAAGAAAAAAAATCAACCTTATCCCAGTAATAATAGCATCCCAATTAGAGCATAAATTAATTACAAACTTAGGATGATAATAACGAAAAATGAGAAAATCTGCAGTCAATTGCTGTAACCACCTGACAAGTGGACCAAACAATTATGAATAAGTTCAACTACAAAACTCCAGATTGAATATAAACATCTACCAGCTAAATGATAAATTTTATTTGTATTATTTATATATATATATATATATATATATATATATATATAAACAGAGAGAAGAATCCAAGTGTTTGAGAACAAATGCATGAGAAAACTCCTTGGCATCTTCTATTGGGAATGTAAAAACCAATGAGTTTGTGAGGAAAAGGGTTGAAAGTTTTGTGGGCTACAAAGAACCTCTTGCCACTATCAAACAGAAAAATAGCATCGTTTGGACATATTACAAGGCACAACAGCCTGTGCAACACCATCATACAAGGCAGCATTAAAAGTGGACGTAGGAGAGGACACCATCTTAAAAACTGGTTAGACAATGTCAAACAATAGACAGATATGAATATACCAGAATTGCTGATGGCTGCCACTGACAGACTGTTGTGGAGTAGATTTAATGTGGCTTTGCATTCACTTCCTCTCTATGATTACAAAAGTAAAAGGGATGATGATGATGTGTGTATGTGAAGAAAGACAAAAGAAAAACTCATCTCAGTCAACACATTTCATCCAATGATGGACTTTATCAAAGCAAATGTAAGGATTTTATTTTTCAAGAAGTATTTATAAACAAACATAATGCTACTTAACAATCCCAAAACAATTTATCCAATCAAAATAATTACAACCACATCCAAAACTATTATGGTTATGATCAGAATCAAAAATATCTATAACAATTCCAAAGCTAAATATAAAATAAACTGTAACAACTGCTCCTTACAATACACTGGATAAACTTGCAGAAGCTTTCAAAAAAAAACAAAAAAAGGACTATCTATGAAATCAAAAGGGATCTTACAAGGATTTATCAAATGCATTGGTCATACATAGAAATAAATTCAACCACAACTTTGAACTAAGGAATGGCACACTTATTAAAAGGGAAAATAATTTTAAATGAAAAATTCTTGAGAGTGCCTCTATCGAATCTCATCAAAATATAAACTTGCACCTCGGATTTGTTTAAATATTTCAGTTCCTGAAAGAATTACTTTTCTACCAAGCCAATATACACGACTTAAAAATGTTAAAAAAATTTAAAGAAAATGGTTAAACTAAATATAATTAATTACAAAAAAAAAATTCAACAGCATTTAGTCACTTTTATTTATCAGACATTAAATTACATCACTTAGCATCTTTCATAATCTACTTAAACTTTTCAATTAGCCTGATGAATATTTATGAGCATCCTTAAATTTAAAAATTTACTACAACTAACCTTTTTATTTTTGTTTATAAACACTTGTTGTAAAATAAAATTCTCACAGTTGCCTTGATAAAATCCATCAGAGGACAAAACATGTTGACTAAGATAATTTTCCTTTAAAGTGATAAAGCTGTCAGTTTAATAAAAAAATCCATTCTAAAATTCTCTTTGCATTTGGATATGAAACTGCAGATATGAAAAATTTTGGGAGATCTATGAGAGAAGTTTCGCTTAAAGGTACGATTCAACCATACCCAACTAATTGGTTCTTCATAGCTCAGCTGGTCCGAGATCCCTCTGCCCAGAGAGATGCAGGTTTGAATCCTGCCAGAGTTCATAAATTTAAGAAGACTTCTCAAACATTCAAGCCAGTAGATGAAAATGAATAAATATACTTTTTAATAAGTAAATGGAGCTTTCTACTCAAATACTAGTATCCACTAAAAATAAATTTTAAAGCGATAAAAATATGTGTGTTTGTAGGATGTATAATCATATTCGAAATAAAGTGGAAAATTTTATTAAAGACGCATTTCGCCAGAGAAGCATATGATCTCTTTAGCTTCAGTTTAAAACGAAAGAAAGACAACCGTGTGTTAGGAAAATGTCCTGGGAGGATAAGGAGGTATCATAAATAAAAATTAATTACCCTACCTTATCAATGCCCAATCTATGTGGATGTTCATTTTATCTATATTGGTATTGTAGGATTTTAAATCAGGGGTTTTATATATATATATATATATATATATATATATATATATATATATATATAAATAAATAAATAACAAATTGGAGACTTCAGAAAGCCATGTTAATATTTGATATTTCGTGAGACCAATAGAATTCAGTTTCACTTTGTCAGACCTGGCGGTTTCAAAATTTTATCAGTCTTGCGAAATATAAAATATTACCAAGTCCAAAGTCTCCAATTTGTTAATTATTACTTGCTCCGTTTACTACATTGAGTTCTCGGGATTTATACATATGGATTATATATATATATATATATATATATATATATATATATATATATATATTATTTATTTAGAAAATTTATAACATAAACATGTTATAAAATCACTACAAAAATAGCCATTTTGTTTCAACACTCCCGGTGTCTTATCAAGTGATGATGTTGAATGCAAAACAAATGGTTTTAAAAGTTTCAAATTAGTTAACGATCTTTCACAAGGGGAAAACGTTCCAAAAGCTAGAATGACCAATCAAAATACAACGAAGTCATGTTATAATAGCTATTCAGATCGTTAAAATACGGGTAAAATTAAAAAAAGAATTTATTCTAACCAATAATTATTAAATTATATGATAGAATTTGATATTAAAATTAAAACTGCCAATTTTAAAATCCAAATTTAATTACTATTAAGTTTAAAATTATAAAATTACCGAGGAGAAAAGGGGAATACATATGTTATTCAATTTATTTCTTTGTTGAAATTACATTAGAATAAGATGTTACTTCATCCGGTCCTCCGACTATATATATGTATACATTTTAATCCCAATTAAAAGCGAATGGGGTCGTAAAATCATAAATAAAACAACACAAACACAATCAGATTATAATACATAAGCATCCAGACATATTTAGATATATATACACACAAAAAAAAAAGTGACAAGACAGAGAACATCTCCACGGCCCTTTATGAAAAAAGGGGTAAACAAACACATAAATAATTAAAAGTGAATGCACTTTTCATACACAGACACCGATAAATACATGTACACACATCCACCGACATTGACCTAGACAATCAGATACCACAATCAATAAATATTTAAGACTGAAAGTGTCATTAAATAAATGCTAGCCACTTATTAAAATATAACTTAAGCAAGCAAATATAAAAATGGTTAAAAATAATATTATTTGATATATTAAAAAACGAAAATTCCAAATCCACAAATATCTATAAAAACATATTTTAATCATATAAGTTAATAATAGTTTTATTATATATTAGGTGAAGAAAAATAAGATAAAAAGAAATACCAACAAAAATAAGTGTATAGTCATACGTACATACATACACATATATACACATATATATATATATATATATATATATATATATAGAAATACATACATATGAATACATAAATATATACACATTTATGATAAGTATACACACATTTATGCACACATACTCACATAAATATACATGTATACACACACCAATAAATAAACATATATACGCACACAGATTAACTCATGTGGCAGTAATGACAAACCAAAGTTTCCATACGTACACACCAACAATCTCATATATAATAGGTGTCAACACACACATATACATCCACAAACATACATATATACACATACACATAAATGACATTCAACTAAATACATATATAAATATACATACACACACCAATATATATGTACCCTAACATACATATATAAACACATTCATACAAACAGAAAATTACTTAAATATAAATTTAGATACACAATATGACACATATATATATAAGAGAGAGAGAGAGAGAGAGAGAGAGAGATACACACATGCATACATACACAAATACATATACATACACATTAATATTTATTAACCTCTTCTCCTTTTTACCTTCTTACTTTTTTTATGCAAATATACACACACACATAAAACCTACCAACATACACACACATATATATATATATATATAAGTAATTAATCGGTGACGAAGAAGACAAAAACTAGACTCAATATATATGTGTCTTCTTCGTCACCGAGTCCCATGGTACAGTTAGTATGACGTTTGTGTTGTATCAAAACGGTCCGGGTTCGATTCTTGGTAGTGGATGCACACTGCTGATGAGTCCCAGATAGGATGAAACAGCTGTCCAGTGCTTTCTGCATTCTGTTGAGGATTCTTCTAGACTCATTGCTATATATATATATATATATATATATATATATATATATATATATATTCCAAATCATTTTGGAAACTTTAGCAAAACTGTAAATGTGCTGAATCATTTTTAGGGTAGTTTTTAAGATCTAAATTCAGTATTCTCATTATTCCATGAACTATTCAGCTTTGTACCCTTATTTCAGGATAGTTTATCAGATATCAGCACACAAAGTGGAATCTGCGAGCTAAGATTAAATTCCAGCCCTGTCTGTTGTGTTCACTTTCACACCAATGCCCTTGGGGAAGGCGTGAATCACCAACCAGCTAGTGGTTAAATAGCTGAATAGACTGATACTTATAACCTTTCTGTTAGAAAAAATTTTAACATTTTGACTCAATGGGGACTTGAGCTTACTATTTACAACATTACCTACTTAAGGATCACTATTCCCCCCCCAAAAAATAAACAGTGTATGTTGGTGGGTTACGGGTAGAAACAATATCATTATTATCACTATTCTTTTTTATTATTATATATTTCAGAAACCAAAAACACCAAATATATATATATAAGTAATTATATATATTCTTTTTTATTATTATATATTTCAGAAACCAAAAACACCAAATATATATATATATATATAAGTAATTAATGTGAGCTTACTATTTACAACATTACCTACTTAAGGATCACTATTCCCCCCCCCCAAAAAAAAAAAAAACAGTGTATGTTGGTGGGTTACGGGTAGAAACAATTAATATCATTATTATCACTATTCTTTTTTATTATTATATATTTCAGAAACCAAAAACACCATTTTTTTTATTGTTATAGATTTTAGAAACATATAACACCATTTTATTAATATTATGGAAACCTATAACATGGTTTTATTATTATTATTATTATTATTATTTATTTTAGAAAATTATAATGCTGAGTTTTACAGTCATGTAAATGCAAATGAAACTTTAAAAATTATCTTAATCTGCACAGTTTCAGTTATCATATAAAATAATTGTACGGCTTCAAGAAAGCAGTGGGTTATCCTGAAGAAATATTCCTACCTTTGGAAACTTCATGAAAAGCATCATCAGCAAGGTCATCATCAAAAATCTCACGTCCATCTTCCACATAACCAACTCCATCTGTTTAAAAATAAAAATTTAAAAAAAAAAAAAAAAAAAAAATGTCATCAGAATAAGCTCATAAAACAGACAAAAGTTTTATATGACCTTAAGAACGATTGATTTTTTTTTGGGGGCGAAACATTTTGGAGTGTAATTTTTTTTTTTTTTTTTTTACACAAGTGAATATTGCATTAACAGTTAACTGGAGATCTTGTCAAGAGAAAAGTTTACTTATGCAGGTTGCTTTGAAAGTAATGTATACTATTTGATTATTTCAGTGATATAACAGCAGAAGTTAAACCTTCTTACCAATAACCTATCATTTTTCTTTTTGCCTTGTTACAGATTATCAGCTGAACAGCAGATAGAGCAAGATATAGAAAGCAGAGCTGTTATTTAATTTAGTTTGCTCTGTAAGTTCATTGTAGATTGATCACCCACCAGAAGCCAAAACAAATATGTTCATACAATGTGATTTCTTTAAAAAAAAAAAAAAAAACTTTTGAAATTCATAAGCTGGAATTCTTTTTCCATATACAGTGTAACCCAGATATAAGAGAGTTGTCGGGACCGGAGAAGAAGTCTCTTATAACCGGGTTTCTCTTATATCCGGGTTTGGTCTATTTTGTTTACATTAACACAGGCTCTAATTTGGGACCAGAGAAAATCTCTCTTATATCCGGGTTACACTGTATTACAATCAATTAAGAACTCCAGATTATGACTTTAAAAACAATTTCATAGTTTAAGGAATGTTAGATAAGCAGATTTGTTTTGGGTTTGAATTTACAATGAATTTACATAGTAAAATGGACCCACTATTAACTTTTATAAAATTATTTTTTTTATATTCATGATTTAATCTATAGAATCTATTTTATACTCCATCCTTAATCTATAGTAATATGGAAATCTTTTTTTGCAAAGAAGGATTATTTCTGGTTTCAGGGTCTATTGAACAACTACCCACCCCCCAACAAAAAGAAACAAAAATACTTTTTCAGAAAACATTTTCATTTAGCTCTATTTACATTTCAATTATTTGATGGCAATACATTTTTGTTCAATGGGAAACCAAATAAAAAATAAATCAGTAAGAATAAAAATAATCCAAATGATTTTCAAAAACTTTAAAAGATTGTTTAAAAAATGTCATTTCTAATACTCACTGTCATCAACAATCCAATCTTCCTCACGTCGTTGACGTACCATCTCAGAATATTCATCTTCGTCAACAACATCATAAACATCTTTTTCTTCTTCAAACTGTAAATAAAAACAGACATTATAGATATGGAAAGTACAAAATTAGAATTAGTGACCATGTCTTCTATCCAACCTCCAATCAGTTGCTAACTGGGGCAAAAAAATAGCTTGTAAATTTTAACCCCTCCAAAATAAAACTATTATCTTTTTGCTTTCCACCAACATGGCTGATGCTAACCTTCAGGTGTGCAACTCACTGCACTTTTTTGATATCATGTTTTACACTGACATAAAGTGTAATGATTATACTGAATCAACTGCAAGGTGTGCTGCATGAAAATTTGTTCACTGTGCCAAATAATTTTTCTTGCCAGAATTCATCTTGCACATTTATAAAATATACCATTCATCCGTGAATTAAATATTGCTGCTATATCTGGTTTGGTGCTCTTGTGAAAATATTTCAAGATTCTCAACAAATTCAAAGAAGCTGTAATGTTATTGGTCCTGACATCTAAACTTCAGTCACTTTCCCACTGCTGTGACATGGCTTCCCTCTGCCTTTTCTATAAATATTTTCATGGCAATTGTTCTAATAAGCTTTCCTACTTGGTACCTCAACTGGCAAGAATAAGTAGGAGTAAAATCAACTTTCAAATGAAGTACAGACAGTACAAATCACTGGTAGTCTCCATTCTCCTATATGAATGTGGAATGTGGACACTGTTGGCAGTGAGAATGATCCAAGTGTTTAAGAACGGAGAAAAATGGCATGGTTTGGACAAAGAGATAGTTCAACAGGTAAGAAGTACAAGAGAAGAAAATAAAATAGAACTTATAGGTTAGATTTAGTAATTTAAACAGCAAAATGACAAAACCGAGCTGCCAATCTAGTCCTTCACTTAGATTCATGAAGTTGAGTTATCAAAGAGGAAAGCTCATCAGAACAATTACCATAAACAAAATAGATAGGGATGCTATGTTATACCACTGGGAAAGTGATTGAAGCAGAAATGCCAGGTCAGAACCAATAACATTACAGATGCTTCTTTGGATTTTGTCAAGAATCTGTAGATACATAGCAGAAGCACCAGACCAGCTATGGCAGCAATATTCAATATATGGGTAAAAGATAGACTTATAAAGGTGTAAGGAGGTATTCCCTGGAGATTAGTATCAGCCATGCCATTGAAAGTAAAAAAAAAAAAAAAGTCCAGACTACAAATATAAAAATATTGGGTTGGTGCATAATTATCAGGCATTTTTAAATTATATTTATTATGAAAAAAAAGAAACATAATAATTCAACAATAACATTTTTAAACGAGTATGATTGACACACATTTTATATAACCTGAAAATAAAATAAATTTTTATTAAAAAAACAGTAAACAAAACAGCAATTTTTATTAACAAATAATTCGCCTACAAAAACGCCTGATAATTATGCACCAACCCAATACATATTGTTTTTTTGTTTTCTGGAATTAAAATATGGTTTTAGTTATAAAAAAAAAAAAAAAAAACTCAAATAATTTAAAAGTTAAGATTTAAACGTTAATATTTATATCATTTAAAGAATATTCTAAGTTACCTGCTTCCTGTGTTATATATGTGATTACATTTAAAATTTCAAATAATTTGAAAACAGCTCCAAAATATGAATTTAAAGAATATTCTTATTTAACTGTCATTTGTAATTATTATTTCCTTTAAATATCTTTATTTTTGGGAGTGGGGGTCTGTATAGAGGAATCAATTTAGTAAACTTTTTTTTCTTTTTCATTTCACTCCAAGCAAAGCAACAAAGCCACTAAGACATAAGGAATTATTGGTAGTGAAAGAGATCAAGACTTTATCAAGGAGAAAAGAGAATAGAAGAACAGGATTCAGGAAGACGGAAGATGGCAATTGACATTGCATTTAAATTTTTAAAGTACATTTGTTTAGAAAGAAAGAAACCAGAATGGATTTCCACAGACAAGTCCTCGAAAAGAAACTTAGAGTAAAACTTATGGTAACATCTAGCTATTTCAAAAGTAAAACAATGAGACTTATCTTCCAGTCTAGTACTAAATAGCAAACTGACCCAGACCCCAACCCTTTAAAATTTAGAAAATTTATTTCTTTTATATTTATGATCTGGAGATCTATGTTTGTTTAAAAATAATTTTTTTTTGAAAAAGATAACTATTTCTCGGAGGTACGTTTCTGTAGAAATGCTAGAACTCTCTTAGTTTAAAGAAATTAGTTGCTTTTAGAATAAGCATAATTGAATTTTAATTAAAAAAAATTGTATCACACAGACATCAACCTAAAATACTTAACCAGTTAGTTATCCCAAACTAATGTTTGATCAATCCAAGGACAATGTTAATTTCAAGCCATAAGTTCTGGTCATCCAAAAACAAAATCCTGCCTCACCTCATATTTATGCTTTTCTCCGGATTCCTTGGCTTTTTTCAACCTGGCAAGAGCAGCAAAACGACCAAATTTGTCAACTTTCTCTCTTTTTGTACGACCAGATGAAGTAACTAAAAATAAAAGCAAAAACTGAATAAATGACTTCGTCCCTAAGGAAATAATGAGAAACAAGCAAAATAAAACTAAGAAAAAATAAATAAATAAATAAATCACAAATCTTTTTCAAACATTAGTATTGCATTTGAATTTTTATAACAAGTTATTTGTTTTAAGGTATTTCTTTGAAGTGGTTAAAATGAATGAATTAAAAGAAGCAGTAGGAAGCAAAGAATATGAGGATTGTGATGGGATTGTTTTAGCTAATAGGTAATTAGCAAAAACAGAGCTATAAGTATAGCTCACGGGCAACTTTGAGTCAGTGTATGTAGAATATCTACGGCTACTAAGTTTAATCATCGTAACAACAATTTAAAGGACAAGTAACAATTGATCCTTGAATATTAAGCTTTTCCAAGTTGTTTAATACCAATTTCCCTTGCTCTGATAAACAAGTAGATATAACGCAAGAGACAAAAAGGTTAATATAGATACAGCAAATAGTTGAAACCCCTTTTTTGTTTTCTGAAAGGTCAGAGAGGGGGAGCTCTGCACAAGGATGCTGTCAACTTTTGCTTGTTCCCAACAGACAGAGAATATTTATTTTAGTGTTACTTGTTGGATACAATAATGTTGTGATTTGACTATGCCTTTTGAAACACGACCAATCTGGTCAGCAATCGAAGCACCCATAGATAGACGTGGATTATACTTTTTTGTTTGAACTTCGACTAGGAATTTCTGAGATGAGGAATTATCAGATTAATATCTTTGTTGTTCAGGTCACAATATTTCCGTCATTGTATCCTCAAGCCCTCTTCGGGTTTCCAGGTAACCTTTGGGGAAAATTTTTGTAGTATAGCATAACTTAAACCTTCCTTAAGCCAAGAGATTTGTCAGAATCAAAATATTGATCTTTCTTCTTTTGGTTCTACTAGAGCATATCTACCAAGGTGTTTGCAACCTACTGTAAATGACGATGCACTCATTATTGCTGGAAAATGTTCAGGAAAAACAATGACCTGTTTGCAATTTTAAAATGACATCAAATCAGTTTAAAAACATTCAAATCACTATTTGATTTTTTTTGAGATTTTTTATATAAAAAATTGTTAATGATTTTTAATATATAACCAGTTCACTGCCTTTAACCCGAACATATTTCATACTTCCAACAGTTGGTAAATATCATACCATTGTAGAAAATGAATGGTAGATAACATACTATAGTAGCACCTGTTTTTATTGATTTAAAAGGGGGTCTTGTTTGTAATATTGATAGTGTCTGACTTTTACAGAGTTATTTTCAACTAGTTTTTTTTTTCTTATTTACAAATGTGCCTTGAAAATGTGCTTATGTCATTAATACTTTTAATTTATGTAAATTCTCTTTTAATTAAAATTGTGGCACTAATTTAAAATTGTATACGTTCTTTAATGGCAAAATGACTTTTAGTAAAAAAAAAAAAAAAAAAAAAAAATTTTAAATAATAGATAAAAATAAAAATTTTTATATCTATTTGTTTTTTGTTTTTTTTATTTTAAATGGTTTTGTAAAATAGAAAATTTTAAAAATTTGGCTGTTTCCATCTACAGATATCAATGACATAAGCAGTTTCAAACTTGACATTATTAAACACACAGCCAAGGTCTGATAACTAAAAGCTTGGGAGTGATTTTAGACAGTATCAATATTATAGGTCCCACCTTCTTTTTTTTTTTATTCTGATAATTGCTGCGGCTTAAGGTCTAAGGAATGTTAATCTACCAACAAAAGCAAAAAAACACTACCCCATTTTAAAATATTTGCCAAAAATCAGGTAATTATCCAATTTAAACAAAATTTTCAGTAGTTATTCATTAATGTTTGAATTTTATACTGGATAGAGCATTTTATTAGAAAACTTTGGAGAAATATTTAAGTGGGTTTTATTTCTCTCCTCTCTTCAATATTTTTTTTCCAATTCTATAAAGAAAAGTCCCTGAACATATTTCAGTAAAAAAAAAAAAAAAAAAATTATTCAATATCAACTATGAACATACAGGAAATTTGTCTTGAATCTTACCAAAAATAATTCAATGAAACACAAAAAATAAATTTTTGTGAGAGTTGATGTTTGCATAATAAAATACATTTTCTTTCAGAGTGGAAAAGTAAAAAATCTGTACTTAATATTTATTTTTAAAAATTACTTTTGCAAGGGGAGATTTTTTTTATGAAATAGAGACATGTTTGAGGTTTCAAATAATGTAAAATTTAATACCATTTTTAAGTGTGAACCGTTCTTAAAAGAATTTTAATTTTTTTCTCATTTTAGCAACTGCTAGATTATTTTTTTTTTGTATGGATGCTCAAAAAGGAAATAAGAATTATTGTCTTTGATCAATTTTTCCTACTGGAAGAGTAATATGATAATTCAATAACTCTTAAATTCAGAATAATTTTAAAAAATATTGACTAAAAGATTTGCATATATGATGAAAAAATTCCCCAAACTTAATAAAAATACAGTTTTATCATCAAAATCTCTTTGTTATTAATAGGGAGAAAGACCAAAGTATTTTTTGATACTTAAATTATATTTTTTAATCTTTTAGAACCTTCAAAATTTTGGTTAAAAGTTTTGTTTTCCTCACAGCAATGGATAACCATAAATTAGTATGGGAAATTTTAGCATCTTTTTGCAATGAAAACCACACTGTTTTTGAAATTCTTGCAAAAATCAGATAACTGTTAGATTTTAATGAAACTTTCAGGACTTATTCACAAATAACTGACATTTTTTAGAAATTTTTTTAAAGAAAATCTTGGTAAAATTTTTCTTACATCTGTTTTAGTGCCATTTTTAGCATTCAGTCATCACAATGTAATTATTAAAAAATCTTTCAAAAATAAAATATACATTCCTGAAATTTTATTTGAGGAATATTAGCTGATTTAAAGTTTAATCTATCTGATTTGAAATAAATATTATTTACTTACTTTACAACATCATAGAAATGTATTTTTAACATGGTGGTAGCTGTTTATTTTAGATGCTGACAGATTGAATGACAGACAGAAGTTTATCTAATGCTTTTCTATAGTGGATATATCTGTAAAATTTACTTGAGGAATATAGCATAAACCCCTTATTTTTTAACTACCCTGTAATCTTAAAAATTTAGGAAAATATTCTGTGATGTTTTATTGAATTTTATGTACTTTTGCTTTAAATTTACTATATTTATTGCTCTTATTTACTGATAATGTTGTGTATGGACATCCATTTTTACAAAAGTTGGCACATTTATACACACAAAGAAAATTTCAAAATTCTTCTTAAAATATTGTTCAATGATTTGTACTAAGCATTTCTTTTTATGATTAGTAAATATAGTTTTTACTTAACAATATCACCTAATCAACACAAAGTAATGGAGAAATTTAAAAGATTTAAAACTTTATCAATTATTCTAACAAAAAAAAAAAAAAAAAATTTCTTAAGACAATAGTTTCCTATAATATATCATTCATACAAGCAATTTAAAGCTTAGTTTTATTGCATTTTTTATTTTACAACTCAGAGCAGATTTTCAGTAACTGGTGTTGCCGTTTTTTTTTTAAAAAAAAAAAAATGCTCCAAGGAGTTCTGCTTTTAAACATTAAGTGATACAAAATTTAATTTCTCAAAATTTCATAATAAAATAAAATAAATGGGGGGGGAGAGGTGGAGGAAAAAAACTTTTCTAAAAATAACATTTCTAAAATAATTTCATTCATTTGTTAATATAGCTCCTGATATAGTTTCATTAAAATCCAATAATTATTTAATTTTTGCAAGAATTTCCAAATCAATGTTTTTCACCGCAGAAATGTTGCTAAAAATTTCCTATACTAATATTTAGCCACCAGACTAAGGCAAAAAAACAAAAAAAATTAGCCAAAATTTCGAACGTCCTACAAAAGATAAAAAGAAAAATTTAATCGAAAAATCCTCCGGTCTGTCCTTTTAATAATGATTTTGACAATAATATTGTTTTTTGGAGGGTATAATTCTGCAGCAAATCAGTGGATGTATCTATTAGTTATAAGCACGAGTCCTTGGAGAATATCTGATGAGAGCCCAAGAACACAAAAGTCGAAACGGTGCTGCCACAACAAAGATGAAATTAGTTAGTACGACTGTAATGTAAATAATTTCACCAGCAAATACTGTAAGAAATCGGCTGACGCTTTAACAATACTCGGTGGTCTCGATTCTACCTTTGCGAAGACAAATAATTTCCCCATATTTCATTTTTGATTTAATGGGGAAAAAGGTATATGATGATTTCTGAAACAACGCAAGCGAAGTAATTTAATACTACTTGATATGTCAATTTTTTTTCATGTCCTATACTGAAAAGATACTCGATTTAAAAAAAAACAAAAAAAAACAAAAAAACAGGTAAAGAAAATTTGTACACATGGAAATGTGTACAATTCTTTGTTTTGAAGTTTGATTTGTCCACTGTCATCTACTACACTAGGTTTAGAATCAATTATTCAATATAAAAAAAAGTGAGAGAGTAAATTCATTAATAACTCAATACTTGGAAATTTTTTTTTTTTAAAAAAAAAAAAAACTAGATATCACCAACTTTAACATCCGAAACCAATTTCAGAAATAAAACTTTTTAATTCAATGATACATGAAATTATATATACATTCGAAAAATTTAGGAGTCCAAGAAACAAAAAATATATCGACTTCCGAAATTAGTTCCACAGACTAAAGCTGATGATAACCCAATTTATTACAAAATTTCGCATAGTTTTGCAAGAAAAAACTCAAAATTCCATTCTTTTGGGATTTTATTTTTTATGGATTATTTAACTTAGATCAGAATTTTAATGTAAAGTCAAATTTAAAAAAAAAAAACAATTATTATATAGTCCAGTACTCCACATTTTCCGCAACTTTGCATAACTTTTTTTTTTTTTGGGGGAAGTCGCTAATATTGTTTTGCGTATTTTTCTATAATTTAAAAAAAAAAGGGGGGGGAGTAAACGAAATCATATTTTCATTTTTGAGACTTAAAAAAAAAACTTTATAAAAATATCCAACGAAGATAACATAATTTTTTTTTTCTGTATGTCAATAGGATTTTTATAAGGAAAAAAACTAATAGGTTAACAGATGTTTATAAAATTTTCTAAGCCGGAAAAGAAAGTAGAAACTGAGTGAAAAATCTCTCTCTAAAAAATGTACCTTAATTAATTAACCTTCAATGCGATTGCACATGTTACACAACAATTTCCTAGCAAGTAAAATAAGTATTGACAACTCAGTCAACTTTAACGAATAACACATTTCACTTAAATTTCTCGAAATGATAAAAAACAAATGCATAATGAAAGCGTTTGCTTACCAGCAGCATCATTTTGTTCTGGTGGCGCCATTGTTATCTCCGAATTAAAATTGCGCGCGAAATCTAGAGGGCGTTTCATTATGCCCGAAGTTAGATAACTCTAATGCCGATAAAAAAAAAAAAACTACAATTTTTTCCCTTTAACAGCTGATTTATTAATATTCTTATAAAAATAAAGTACAATTTGATTTCATCTCATTTTGAAGCATTTTTAAGTCAGATGTTTGTTTCATTACTTTTAATTATAAGAATGATTTTCAGATAAAAAGTTTTCACTAAATATATTATTATGCATTTCTTTGATCGGAGATTTAAAATTCATATTTTTCTTTTTCCTAAAAAACTTTATATTAAAGTTAATAACAATTAATTTGTGTTAATACCTTATACCATTTTTATATAAATTCTTCACGAATTTTCTGTTTATTATTAACAAGGGCTCTCACTGACAACCAGGGGAAGGATTTTACTTACCTAGCACAGTATTAACAATGAGGGTTTACTGAGGGGTAGTTAATGCCCTGTGCTGTAAGGGGGGTTATGATTCTCCTCATTTTAGATGGGGAAAAGTTTCTCAGCCCCAGGGATTCCAACCCTGCAAGAGCACCTACCTCATCATACTAAAGAGGTTTGGTCGGTGTGATATCAATGCCAGCATGACAGTGGTTGCAGGGGCTGGACAAAAATCAATTTTTGTCCTTGGCCCATATGCATAAGTATGTGAATGGTGCTCCTTGTGTTCCATCCAGCCTTGGGGAGAGGCTAGGTAAATATGCCTTAAGAGAATTTGAAAGCCTCTTCATTATGTATGTTTGCCACCTGTGTCTATAAAAAGAAAGACATATTTTTAGATGAAACTACATCAAAATCTGTGTATATATATATATATATATATATATATATATATATATATATATATATATATATATATATAGCCACCACATGCAGGATTCAAGTAAACAACAATAACTCCAAATTGTTAATCAACAAATATATATTGAAATAACATACAAGAATAAACATGCAATAAAATTGTGTTCAATGTATAGATTAAGGGAAAGAAGTTGTTCCCCTTTAACTGTAGATTGATTTGTAATTAATTGTTCGAAGAAAGTTCTCTTGAGTGAAAAATGTCCAGAAATCAATATTAGAGCAAAATTTGCATGTTAAGAATAAATAACATAAGAATACAATTAATTAAAAATGTGTTGTGTTATAGAATGGTTTGAATCAACAGAGTTCTGGTTGATTGTACTTGGCAAAATTCAGAGAGAAATGTAAGTTTATATTATGAAATTCTGTGTCTGTGTGTGCATTGAACATGGATTTGTGTTGACAGCTGGAATCTTACGGGATCTTACTGACGACTTGTGAAAAGTGTCCCCTTTTAAGAAAAAAGGGTAGGCTCCCATAGAAACGCGGGAAAACTTAATCTTGCATTAAAAATATGTGATTGGTTAAAAATTAACCAATCACTATACTCGTACTAACAGAACAAGCAAGCATGCTCGAAACCAAAGGATTCAAAGAAACAACTGCAATGACTAACTTGTCCTACATAAAGGTAGTAGTGATTTATTATCCAATCGAAGGCGAATAAAATGTGGGTGTGGAAAAATATAGCATCCGCTACATATATATATATATATATATATATAAGATGGTTGGAATGTCAAACTGAACCCTTTATTTTGCTCGCTTGGGTAGATTGTTTTAGTTCCACGTGCCACGAGTGGCCTGACAATTGCATCTAGCATGAAACAGATTGTCGCCTCTAAGTGTTGACTTCTATGTTCACTTTTATATTTACACATGCTTTATCTCTGATACTGAGCACTTTATCCCATAAATATAGCACCCCTTAAGAGTATATTTCTTCATATATATATATATATATATATATATATATATATATATATATAATAGCTGGCCACTCATATCTGAGTATCACTGTCTACTAGGGTGGCTAACCAATCCCTGTTGTAGATGGATGCTCAGACTCATTTTTGTCTGTTCAACACCCACAAAGCCAACCTGTGGTTTAAAATGCAACTTTACTGGGCAGACCTTCATTACAGTTTCTGGGAGACAGCACATTATCTGGTGTGATCAAGAGTCTGAACAAGGCCAGTACATTGAAACTCTCAGTCACAACTTGTGACTTCATGCTCGTACAACCATTAAAAAAAAGACATATTTTTAGATGAAACTACATCAAAAATCTGTAGATATATAAAAAAGATGCATCAAAATCTAAATGAGACTTTATGATTCATGATGAGGATGATATTTCATCATTGTAGAAATAAAGATCTAAAACTACATCACTATAAAAACTACCTTTCTACCACAAGAAGTTAGCAGTAGTAAAATGAATAACACAGACATATCTTCTTTGCTCTGTAAAAATCCAGAGTTGACAGTTTCAAAGGCTTTCCTAAACCACTAAATTCTCATAAACAATTAAGCCTAAACTTTTAAAGAAACAAAAAGAGACAAATAACCCTGAGAACATTTAATACACAAAACCAATTAACATTACAAAAAGAAAAATACACATTCTTGAATATTATTTTTAACATGTGTCTCTAAGTTTTATTGTGCATTTTATTCATTTCATTTTCAGTATAAATGAAAAGACAAAAGGAATCCTCAATCAACTACTAATACATATAACATGGGGTAAATTACATTAACACCTCAACAGCAACCCCGGTAGAACTTCTTGAAGGGTCCCCATCAAATTTAAAAAAACACTCCAAGTAGAAGAGCCCAAATTAGTTCAAAGGAGACCTATTAAATCTGAAAATAAACAAATCTCCTCTGTTCTTACAACTTTATTTTTTGTATTTTTAGTTTTATTGGGAGCCACTCTAGTCTGGGGTCCCTGAGCTGCAGCCATTATATAAATTCAGCACTGCTGACACCCTTGTGGAGAGTAAACCACAGAAGGTCTTTGCTGAGAGGGCTAGTTGTTCATAGAATGCTGTATCAAAATATATTGGTGGAAAGTTGATTGGAAGGAAAAAGTGTGGTAGGAAAAGACGTACAAGCAAGAGGGATGACCACACCCTTGAGCGGTTTGTCAAGCAAAGCTGAATCAAGAACTTGGAAACCTCACAAGGAGATGACTGGGACTGAACTCAGTGTATCAGGAACCACCATGAATAGAAGAGTTCAGATAATGGGTTACAGCTACTGTGTTCATAGTATCAAACCACTGCTGAACCAGAGATAATGTCAGATGCATCTTCCTTTGGTTAAGCAGAAAAAACTGAACCATTGTTTGTTGGTTCAAAGTCAACACAGACATCTATCAAGAGATCTTTGACAACTTCATGATTTTAACTGCTAACATGCTTGATGAAAATGCTGACTTCCTTTTTCAGAAGGATTTGGCACCTGCCTACAGTGCCAAATCTATGAGGTTCGTTGACCATAGTATTACTGTGCTTGTTTGGACCACTAATTTCCCAATCTGAACCCTATTGAAAATCTATGGAGTATTGTCAAAAGCAAAATGAGAGACACTATACCTAACAGTAAAGACAAAATGAAGTCAACTATCAAAGCAACGTAAGCTTCCATAACACATTAACAGTGTCACAGGCTGATCACCTCCTTGCTGTGCTGCATTGATGCAGTAATCTATGCTAAAGAAATCTCAACCAACTAATGAGTGCATAAATAAACATACTTTAGAGAATTTTTCTATTATATTATAAATAAACATACTTTAGAGAGGTTTTCTATAAACTAGCAGGTTTTACCTGCTCGCTATCGCTTTGCAAAGTAAGATATATTCTCTACTTGAAATCTTTGAAACAAAAATTTTAAATAAACATTTCATTCATAAATTGACTTCTTATAGTTAAGGAAAGTTTTACAAATAGATGCCAACTTGTTCAAGGCCAAGTAAAATGTAAATTTCAAACAATTTTCTGCACTATATAAGACAATATTCCTAAACAAAACTATTTTTGATATGAAAATGAAAACAATCCTCGAATAAAAGAACAGTAATGAAGGACAGTTGATTAATGAAATAAACTTTTTTAAACTCAATATGCAAATTAGTTAAACCTGAAGATGTTGCCTAAAAGTAGCTAATATATAATACAGCTATTGAGCTGCTAGGAGTTTCTAGCACATATCATCTCTCAGAGTGTGCTCGGGGACTCTGTCAAAAGACAGAGTGACAACTGAGGAAAATCATACTGAGAGGTTCCCAGCCCTGGGGAACAGCTGCCTGAGGTCATGACCTCTCATTGCACCAGAGAGAGGGATTGGTGCTCACACCAAGGTCAGTGCAACTGACAGTTGTGGAGGCTGTGGGCAATTTTTTTTCCCGGTCTAGGTGTACGTGATCAGGTCCCTAGCTTAAAAAATGACCTTATGTCACAGAGTAAATACCTAGTGTGTAAATTCCTCTCTCTTGAGTGGTACACACATTCTCATACTTTCCAGTTACAGCAATCCATCCCTGCGCTGGTAGTATCACAGCTATGACTAGCTTGGACCAGCTCTAACTATCTTGGACAAGCTAAGACCAGTGACTGAGTGAAGATGCTTGGGTCCCCATGTTAAAAACTGACCTTATGTCACAACCTGACTCAGTAGGGGTCAAGTAAATTAACACATTCTGATACTTACTGGTTACAGGGATCCATCCCTGTGCTGGTAGTATCATGGCTCTGACCTGCTAAGACCATGTTAAAAACTGACTTTGTGTCACAACATACTCAATGGGGGGGGGGGTCAAGTAAATACAGTGTAAATTCCTCTTGAGGAGTTTGTAACGCATTATTTGTCATCTCTCAGTTGCATTTCTGTCCTTGGTCAGAGTGCACTCTGGGGCAGCTCCGTCAAAGGACAGAGTCACAAACTGAGGAAAATTATATTGAGAGGTGCTGGTCATGGAGAACAGCTGCCTGAGACCGCGTCTTCTCATTGCACTAGACAGAGGGATCGGTGCACACACTGAGGCCAGCGCAACTGATGTTTGTGGGGGATTGAGGAATTTTTATTCTCAGCCTGGGTGCCCGTGCTCTGCTACCCCCCTTCCCCCATTAAACCGACTTTATGTCACAACGCGACTTTGTTGGGGGTCGAGTAAACAAATTACTATAAAGTAGAGCTGAGGTTTTTTAATCTCAGAATTCATGGGAGAATTGAGCTCCAATTTCACATTTATTCATATAGATTCCATAATATAAGTTTTACTTAATTAGCTATTATGTTTTCTAACTCTTCAAATGTTGAATGTATAACTAATTCTAATTTCTATTTTCTTATCTTTATGCAATATTGATTTTATCTTATAAATTGTCCCCTGTTCTGTCACCCATGAAATAAAAATAATTGTTTGTATGGAAAATAAAGATCGATGTACATCAAATTGTCTTTAAATTAAGTGGCAGCAGAAGAATTATCGTTGAAACATTAATTCAATACTGAAATGCAGTGATCAATTTTGAGTTTTTCTGTAGTTTATTGATGCCTATCGCATCTCCATAGATAATGTGATGATGGCCAAACCATGAGTACTCCACAGGAGCTAGCTTAAATGTCATCTGATAGGGCGACTTTTAAGCTAGCTTAAAATTTTAAGCTAACTGCAATTTTGGATACAAAAGGAAAATAAGAGTTACTCCCCATGAACCATGAAAGCAACGATAATGGCTAGTATAATATATTAATATATATTTTTAATCTCACATAATATGGCAACCCTGAATCTGAGCTCAACAAAAATCGTTCCCTAAGCCTAACTTTTTTAGGGCTTTTGAATGAGCTATGAATCATTGAAAACAAACCAATGGGAGCAGAGGAGTTGCTTCAATACACACATGCACAAACACACACACATACACTGTACTATATATAAGATAAATATACTTTAGAGAGGTTTTCTCTTACATTAGAAATAAACATACTTTAAAGAGGTTTTCTATTATATTATAAATCTTATTTTTGTTGTTGATCTTATGAAATATTCTAATATTTTTAAATAATAGTTTTTGATTTTCATGAGTTGTAAACTGTATTGATTGATTTTTTTTTTATTGATTTTTTTATGGCTTATTAACCTTTTTCATGGTGGCATAATGGATAATGTCTCAGAATGAGGAATTGGATAGCTAGGAATATCTTATTCTTAACTAACCAAAACTTCAACATGTCGACCTCACACTTTTCCAAGACTCATTCTCGTCTTGATGCAACCCGCATGTTGAACCTTCTCCGTTTTCTACTAGAAAATGTCGAGTTCCTACGACACCGTCGTCAATATATATTTTTCCAAGACTTATCCCCGTCTTGATGCAACAGCTTGTTGAACCTTTTCTCCGTTTTCAACTAGAAAATGTCGAGTTCCTACGACACCGTCGGCAATATATTTTTCCAAGACCAACTTCTTGTCTTGATGCGAACAATTTTCGAACTTTCCTCTATTCACTACCAGAGTTCTACAACACGGTCGCTCGCACACCTTTCCAAGACTCAACCTCGTCTTGATGCAAACAACTCTGAATTCTCCTTAATGAAAGTTGATAATCTGTTCATACACCTTTGAACCTTCTAACTACTTTGAACCAGTACCTAAAAAAATATTACATACACTCACGCTATCAAACTTCACAGTGAGTACTTTTCCTATTTGTGTACACATACACCTTTCGTTTAACAAGTCATTTTTCCAGAACTTTCTTTCTGATGGAACTATTCCCGCCTTGGTCATCTTGGTTTTCTGTTTTGGCGCGGAACATTATTACTGATGGTCTCAAATGACGAGACAACTTACTTGATTAAATATAATAAAAAATTCATATATGTTTTGCAACCAGACGCCTTTTGTTATTTAATCCAGGTTATCTACTTGTATTATATTTATGCACTTGTTGAATGACCCCTTTTCCTTACTAAGTTCACTCACGCAATATTTTTACTTTGTTTGTGGATTCGGTAGTTTTGTGTAGTGTCTGGCACAGGGCCACCTTTTAATAAACCAGCACTGCACGCTACCGGGTCCGCAACAAGCTAAACTTACCCTTTTTATTACGGAAAAAGGGAAGCAACTTTCTTTATACTTATTGTTGAAATTTGTATATCATTGTTAAATACAATATATTATTAATGTTCACTGAGCTTGATTGTTTTTCTCTCGTGTATTGTTGTTCATAAATTAATGTAGGGTGTTGTTTTACAAGAACACAGCCTTCTTTGATCTTGATTATATTCATGGTGACCATAGCCAACAAATACTATATACAACTACAACAATTCATACTACACCTCTACAATTGATGACCCCAACGTTCCTCGTAGCACCATTATATCCACAATTGATGACCCCGACGTTCGTCGTAGGACCATAACATCTACAATTGGTAAACCCAACGTGCGAACAACAATTGATAATACCGACGTACCTACTACATTTCATAACCTGACGTAGGAACTACATTTGGTATTTTATCAGCATTGGTAACTACGACTTTTCGGAATCTTGTACCAACCACATTTGGACGACTCACCGATCCAGTTTACCGAGAGATATTGTTGGGGACGTGCAGAATTTATTAATTATGTTAGAAAGAATCAGAAGGAATTTCAGTTGGTTGCGTGTCTTTCTGCATCCCAAACAAATAAATAAACGAAATTTAAAATGCAATTGAAAAACGAGACATATTCAATTAGAAATCAATACAACATTTATATACAATTCAAACAATATACAGACAGGATAATTGATATATGTTATGTAGGCGAAATGTGTATGAGGTTTTTTAGATTTCAGAATGTCTCTCTTTGTAATTGTTCGTTCATTTACAGTCTTTTTTAGTTTGTGTCGATATTTGCAATTGTCGATATTAAGTGTCTTTTTAGAAAGAGTTTTTAAGAGTGATCTACCTTTAACTGTAATGTAATGTCTTTCTAAGGTCGTTCGTTCGTTAGTGTTTACTTAATAAGTAGCGAATATGATTCACTTTAGATAAGCAATGTTGAGAATTGATATCCACAGAGTCGATTAAGTCTTGATCGGGTATGAGTCAGTGATGATGTATCTTTTGCGCGGCAAAATCGTGATTCTTAGTGACATGGAGTATTTTGGAAAGTTCTCTGCGGGTGTTTGTTACTGCCTGGGGCTGTCATCGTTTATTTTTATAGGGTCTGAAATTCCAAAGGTGGCTCACTTGAGTTTTGGCGCAATTTCCATTCTGCACGTGAACTTTCAGTGATGAACCAATGAGATTGTTTGTTTCGCTTCGTGCAGTTTTAATTGGTTGAAGTTTTCGGTACGTAGGCGTAAGATATGGACTGTTCTTGTGCTAGGGTTGAAAGCTAAGGAAAATAGGACGAGTCTACAATATTACTTCGCGCCAAATCACACCACGTGCTTATACATAATGGCTGAACAGTCTGCACAAGAGACAGCCGTTGTGCTGACCCTCCCAACTTTCGACATGACTAACGTAAACGTATGGTTCGCCCAGACTGAAGCCATATTCCAAGCAAAGCATATTCACTCTCAGACTGCGCGTTACGCGTATATAGTCGAGAAGCTGCCACCAGAGATCGCTGCTGACGTGCTAGACCTTTTGGAAGCCGTTCCCGCTCATAACCCCTTTGATATACTAAAGGAAGCCATCATCTACCGTACTGGAAAATCGCATGAGCGCAGGTTGCACGATCTATTTAATACTATACAGCTCGGAGACAGCCGCCCGTTACAGTTACTTCGACAAATGAAAAAATTACTATGGAAGAACTCGATGTCGGAATCATTATTCCGCAAACTTTGGCTGGACAAGCTACCGCCATATACTTCACAGATTCTGGCTACGCTACCCAATGACTTGGATCTCTCGAGAATTGCTGAAATCGCTGATAAAATTAATGACGTACCCAACATCAGCAGCGCGGACTCCCCTGTACCCACTGACGCTGCTATGATGGATGTAATAGAACAGCTGAAACAGCAACTCGAGAGGCTTTCCACCCAGGTGCAGCATCTTACCAGAGCAGAGGATAAAAACTCATACAAGGTACGGCGACGCTCTCATTCTGCTACTCGCGCTCGCCGGCCCATGCTATGCTGGTACCATCGTAACTATGGTGATAAAGCTCACAGATGTACTAAGCCTTGTACCTTCAAGTGCCAACCTTCACCCAAGGCATCACGGAAGGCGGGAAACGTCGATCCCGGCAGCACTTGAAGGCGGCATCTACTGTTGGGACACATATTACTAACCGTCTCTTCTATATAAAAGACAGGAATTCTAACATGTCATTCCTGATAGGTACGGGAGCACAGCTTAGTGTTGTTCCACTATCACCCAACTTTACTAAGACTAACTCTGCGGTCACCTTATGCGCCGCTAACGGCACGAACATTAAGACTTTTGGTGAACAATCATTAACATTGGATATAGGACTTAGAAGGACATACCAATGGATATTCACCGTTGCAGACGTGAAATTCCCCATATTAGGCGCCGACTTTTTGGCACATTATCAACTCATCGTGGACCTCTCTACGAAGCTATCTAACCGCGGAATTGTATCACAGAACATCTACAGAATTACGCATCGCTGTGCCGCGTGATAATCCGATTCAAGATATTTTGGATAAACTTCCCTCGTTGATACAACCTTTTACTTATACAGAGCCTGTCAAGCACAGCACTGTACACAGGATTCGAACTACCGAACAGCCTGTCTATTCTAAACCTCGCCGTCTTGCGCCGGACAAATACAAGGTTTCCCGGGCCGAGTTTCAACACATGCTCGACCTCGGGATTATTCGACCCTCCTCTAGTCCATATGCCTCACCGCTTCACATGGTCACTAAGGCTCAGCAGGGCGCCTGGAGGCCATGTGGCGACTATAGACGACTTAATTCACAAACAGTACCCGATAAGTACCCAGTTCCCAATTTGACCGATTTTGCTGTTACCTTACAGGGAGCAACTGTCTTCACTAAACTGGATTTACGCAAAGCTTTTCATCAGATCCCAGTAGCTGACGAAGATATTCCCAAAACTGCGATTACCACGCCATTTGGTTTATTTGAATTTCTGCGTATGCCTTTTGGACTGCGCAACGCAGCCCAATCATTCCAACGCCTAATTGATGAGGTACTTCGTGGACTATTTTTCACTTTTGCATACATCGATGATCTTCTAATAGCTAGCCCTAATTTACAGGAGCATCGTAAACATATTCAGCAAGTTTTTGATCGTCTTCAGAACTTTGGTTTAAAAATCAAACCAGAGAAGTGCGAGTTTGCCGTTTCGCAACTCCACTTTCTCGGTTTCGTCATTGATGCTACAGGTATTAATCCCCTGCCTGAAATGTGGGTCCATTTCGTGTCCTTGCCCGGACCGATAAATATTATACTCTCTACAGACTAACCACGGCCGATCAACTTTCTCCATCGATCGCTTAAAACCTGCATGTATTGAACGCGATGGATCAACCAATCAACTTACGAGCCCTTCGCTAGACAGCCCTCAGCTTTCGTCACCAGCACCTACTAGGAATGCTAGCTGACGTACCGTCCACTGGCCTAAGAAGTTCAAAACTTTTATTACATATTGAAAACTCTTTTTTCCTTGACTTTTCAATCTGGACGGGGTAATGTCGGAATCACTTACATGTGCCACACCTCCGCTTTCTTTAATGTCATTGGTTAATAAATACATGATACTTATATGACAATTTAACCATCGCAAATAATTCAAATTTTTCTCTAAAATCACGGATTGGTCCATTTCCTGACCAATCGCGTATTTTAGTATATTTTCTATATTTTTAGCGCCAAGCTCTCCGGAGTCTATCCATCGTTATATAAAGACTCTCGCTGTTTGCCAACAGCAAGTAGCAGTTCAATTCTTGGAAAATAAAGCACGGCGCTATATTGACATTTTAATTCTTGATTATTACTAATTCGAGTAATCATACTAATTCTTATTGATATCACTCATGAACATTACATCTTTCTACACTGATAAAACACTGTGGAACTATTCTTTATTTAGCTAAGGTCTCAATTGAACTTTGTAGTTAAATTACATTCAATTTTGTACTCAACATTAATTGGCTAAACTTACCCTTTTTATTACGGAAAAAGGGAAGCAACTTTCTTTATACTTATTGTTGAAATTTGTATACCATTGTTAATAATACAATATATTATTAATGTTCACTGAGCTTGATTGTTTTTCTCTCGTGTATTAAATAAATTAATGTAGGGTGTTGTTTACAAGAATACAGCCTTCTTTGATCTTGATTATATTCATGGTGACCCTAGCCAACAAATACTATATACAACCACAACAATTCATACGACACCTCTACAATAGCATATTCCACGCCAGTACCTGCAAGAGGGTCACATTTAAGAGATTCCAAAATATCACTGGAAAAATATGACCTCTGCCTTCCAGAGTCCAATAGGCAGTTACACTTTCACTACTTTTTTTTTCTCTTTTCAGTAAAACACTTCATTTCAGGCAAAATGTAGGACTGACCCGTCACACCAATATTAATACAAGTGTTAATTTTTTAGCTACAATATCCGGACACAACAAACTGTGGTGGCTACGAGAAGAACAGTATATACAGATCCAAAGAAATCTTAACCTCTTGCCTGGGCAATTAACAGAAGAATTTCTTCTCGCTTTTACGAAGAGTGGGGGGCACAATTTAAGCGCAGGGTACCATTTCACTCTGTCCCGGTGAGAAACATATCTCAGACAATGATCCTTCCAGTGTCCATCTGTCACATAAAATTTACAGTGCTTAACAGACTCTCTCTTTATAGAAGTAGAAAAGCTCTCTAAAACGGAAGAGGGTTTGTTTTTTTTTTAATCTAGGTTTTAAGGGCATGGAATTACCAGTTCTATAAGGGCCCGAACGAACAGGTTCAACCCTTAGTTTCACCAGAGTTTTAATAATGTCGTTATAACTCTGAAGAATGTTGTTTAATGTAGGATAACTGGAATTATATTGCTGCATAAGCTCTCTTTGTAATTCTCCAGGTAGTTTTGAAAATTCTTCCTTAATTCCCATAAGTTGGCTTTTACTCTATTTAAGAAAATTTTAACACTTTTGAATCTTGACTCACATGACGGCTTATACTCCAAAATCTGTTTCAATATCTCATTCACAATGAACCCATGATCCAAAATTTCCTCGGTGAATAAGGGTAATGCGATTTCATAATTCTGGTCACAGATAATGAATGATTAGAAATCCCATAATCTGTTAAACAGCTCTTAAAGTACTAGAATTTGGCTTCCTTAGATCCTACACAAGCTACGTAATTCTCAAAATGTGCCAAGAAATTCTTGACATGAGAGTTGGGATTCAAAACCTCCAGCGAGTTCCTGATCTCAGAATCATCCTCAATCCGTCCAGCTATGAGTGATGGAACCTGGTATACGGACGTCCTAAACTTGAACTCTGATTGAATCTCTCATCTTGTTTCATCCCAGCTTGTTGTAGTTTCGAGACAAACTGTATCTCTCCTAACTCGTCTAGGTAGCATAACCACCCTGCGTCCCACGAACGCATCCCTCTTCAGATTGTTCAGTCTTTAATCCCTTTATCTCCCTACGAACTTTTGACTTACATCCGGTTTGTTGCCATAAAAACCTTTCGATAATTTTCACCTCTTCTGGCATAGTTTATATCTTTGTTGCAAAATGTTGCGTTTTCATGCAAGTATTAGTAAGAGGCGGTTACTCGCGTTCGACCGGGGAACCTCGGCGTGGTGTAATGGTTAGCAAGCTTGTCTTGCTAGATCAGTTACTACTGAAAAGTGAGTTCGATCCTCACTGGATGCCCCATACTTTCGGCCTTGTGCACCATCTAAGCTACGCTTGGAAAATCTCTATTCGCGTTCGACCGACGACAGCGACTGAATGCAGCTGGTAGTTAAAAGTTGCAACAATTGCGAGTTGCAAACAGTTCGTTGTTGCGGCTTGTCGCCGAATAGACGCTAATCTCCGACAGAAGCAATTCCCATTGGGTAGATCAACCCACCTCTTTCCCGCCATTGTCAACGGGTATCGTCTTTTATAGCTAACGAGGGGAGGGGTTCTAGAACCCACATGTCTATAAAAGACACGTGGTAATTTCTTTTCTTTTTTCTTCAGAGTTTATACAATGTCGCCGTCGGCCGCCAGGGAAGCGAACACATATTAATTTTAACAATACGTATAGGTGATGGAGAATCTTCCCCATGACGTTGCAACTGTAATGTATGCTGGGGGAAGCCGTATGACACATTAAAGAATGACGTCTCCAGGCGCATGGGCTAATCCAAAACGAAGTGTCTAATTTATGTCTCTATGAAACTGTAGAGGACTGGTGTGGGTTTGCGTGTTGTTGAATTGGAAACACTTACTGTTTTTTTTCTTCCTGCTAGAATGAGGTCCAACTACAAGAAAATTGCCGGACTCAAGTTAAATCCAACTGAAGATGTAAAGACAAAAAAAACTGATATTTATATATATATATATATATATATATATATATATATATGTATTAAAGAACACAATTTTACAATGGACATAGACAATAACATTTGTGTGTGTGAACATTTGCGTCTGTTCTTTAGTGAATGTTCGTACGTACGTGTATGTGTGTATAATGTTCATGACGTCTCCCACAAATGGGAGGACGCGGATTTTCTAAGAGAGCTTACATTGTAGTCGCTGAAATGAAGAAATGAAAAAGAGAACGAGGCAAGAAGTCGCCCAGTATTTGTAGTCTGGGGAGAACGACCCCTAGTGACAATTAGGGAATTAAGGAGGAGTTAACTCCGACAAAAGCTTCACAGGTACCGCCAAAAATGAAAGTTCTTCTCGGAATAAACTCCATGTGCGACATGAACCATAACGGATTGTAGAGATATATAAAGTACATACGCATAACACGGACACTCGCCTCCCTACCTGAAAATATAGACTTAGAGCGAATGGTAGGAGTCGCTGACAGGACTCACGGAAAAATATAGTTGAATTCGAAATCCCTTTATAAATGTTCCTTCTAATATTGGACTTCAGTTATGTGAAGAAGAAGAAGAATTGGCCACCCTTTCTAGTGATCGAGGGCTGAAAATAAAACATTCAAAGTACAGTGTAACCCGGATATAACAGACCCGGATATAAGAGAAACCCGGATATAAGAGAGATTTTCTCTGGTCCCA